TCACTCACTGCTACTTGCTCGTCGCCGTTGCGTCCGCAATGCGCGGCGACGCCATCTGGGTCGACATCAAGCCCAAGTCGAAGCGGCTGAGCTCGACGCGGCCCCGCCACTGCTCGCGGATGGTGCGCAGTTAGCAGCACTGCCGCTGCCACTTAGCGGACCGTGACCACCGCGCTGTACGGATGTCGCAGGCCTGCGCCGTCTGCGCGTGCGTCGCTCTTCTTCAAGTCTACAGCCTGGCGTACTACGAGGCTGCTCTTACCGCCGCTGCTGACCAGAGGCCGCCTCTGCTGCTGCGAGGAGCGTCAACCTCCGGCGGAGCGGGAGAGGCGGCCGGTGCGGCCAGCGAGGGCGAAGAGGCGGCCCTCTTCGGGGCGGGCGACGCGGGCGACGCGCTGAGCGAGCTGGGGTACCGCGGCGGCGTCAGCATCCCGAAGGTCTTCCACCAGAGCTGGCGCGACGACGGCTTCCCGAAGGACCTCTTCAACTGGCGGTGGCAGGCTGTCCACCGCCCCTCCCTCCTCCCTCCTCCCTCCTCCCTCCTCCCTCCTCCCTCCTCCCTCCTCTCTGCGCTCACCTCTGCGGCAGCATCTCTCCTCTCTCGCCGCTTCATCCAGTTGCAACGTCTCACCCCGCCAATGGCGGCGCTCCTCTTTCTGTCTTCGTCTCACCAGTTCAGCGTCCTCTCACCCCTCTCGCTGGACGGCGGCAGGCCGGGCTGGTGCGGCTCAACCCGGAGTGGCGGCTGATGAGGCGTGGACCGACGCAACTCTCCGCCCGCCCTCGCAGCCTCCGCCATGACCCTGCTCCCGCTCCTCTCCAGGTGGACCGACAACTCTTCGCGCGCGCTGATCGCCTCCGAGTACCCGTGGTTCCTTGCCCACTATGACGCGTACACGCCACCTCTCTTCGGCGGAGGCGTCCCGCGGCTCCGCTCGCACCCTCGCCACGCCTTCCGCGAGTAGGTTGCCGGCCCGCCCCGCCCGCCCTCCTGTCCACGACACGTCCGCGACACGTCCGCGACACGTCCGCGACACGTCCGCGACACGTCCGCGACACGTCCGCGACACGTCCGCGACACGTCCCGTGCAGGTACCCGTCGTACATCCAGCGCTCGGACGCGGCGCGCTACTTCATCGTCCACCGCCACGGAGGTGTCTACCTCGACCTCGACTACGAGTGCCTCCTCCCCTGCCCACGCCTCCCCGCCTCCCTGCCTCCCCGCCTCCCTGCCCCCCAAGCCTCCCTGCCCCCAAGCCTCCCTCCGCCAAACCACGACCCGACCCGGACCCAGACATCCCTCACCCTCACCCCTGACCCCGACCCCTCGCCCCGCGCCAAGGTGCTCTCGCCCCTTCGGCCCCGTACTCGCTGGGGCCCGCGCCGCCTTCTCGTACAAGTCCGGCACGAACGCCTCCCTCGGCCTCGCCAACGCCATCTTCGCGTCCGAGGCGAGACCCGCCGAGATCACCCGAACACGTACCCACCACCCAACTCGACACCACACCCGACACCCGACACCCGACACCGAGCCATCACCCTCGCCCACCGCCACCGCACCAGGAGGCACTCGCTGCCCTCGCCTCTCTCCCTCTCACTCCCCCACCGCTGCCAGGCCGGCCACCCCGTCTGGGAGGCCGTCTTTCGCCTCCTCGTGGCGCGCGCCTCCGAGGGCGCCGCCGCAGAGAGCCACGTCGACGTCATCCGCTCCACCGGGCCTGGCGCGCCTGCACACCCCTCCTCTTCTGCCTCCAACCCACCCCCCCTCCCCGAGGAGCACACCGCTCCCCGCGTGGTGCGTCTCGGTAGAAGAAGGCCGCCGAGGTGGCAGGCGGCCGCCTCGAGGGCTGGCGCACGCGACACCTTCCCCGTCTCCGACCCCTCCCGCCGTGCCCCGTCCCCACCTGCTGCAGGCCTGCTGCGCAGCGCGCTCGAGGAGCTGCGCGAGGGCGGACGGCTCGAGGAGCTCGGCGTGCGGCTGCTCCCCTCGCCCGTCTGGCACCCGCTCCGCCCCGAGCAGAAGCGAGGCCGCGACGCCACCGAAGCGACCCGCCGGCTGCTCGCCGCGTCGTGCGCCCCCCCCCCCCCCCCTGCCCGCCCCCGCCCCCGCCGCCGCAGTGTGCCCAGGCCGTCGGCGGAGCGGCGTCTGACCTCGCGCGCGTGGTGTGTGTGGACAGGTACTGCGTGCACCACTTTGTCTCATCTTGGGTGGGCCCGCGGCCGCGAGAGCCCGCCACGCCGTGAGCGGCGCGCCTCTTCACGCGTCGGGCTGGGCGTAGGTCGTGCATGACCGCGAGCGGCACTCGGAGACCGACACGGCGCGCCGCGAGGGGGCGGCGGCGGAGCAGCGCGGGGTGGTGCCTGTCGGGCAAGCCCTCCGCGAGGCGAACCGGTGGCGCTCGTACGTGGAGCCGCGCAGCGACGGGTCGCACGACGCGGCGACGCGGAGGACTGGCCGGAGGACAGCGACAGGGTCGTAGGTGGACAGCGTGGTTGTCTCACGTCGTGTTGAGTTGTGGTTTTATTTTGGGCGCCGCGTGGCCGTGAAGCGTGGGGAAGGGCGGCCCGCGCTCTTCAAAACCACGAGATCGGTCTGGAGTCCCTCCAGCCCCGACACTCTGTTAGGGTGCCCACAGGCGGACCCAAAAAAAGAAAGGAAAAAAGAAATGGGGGACTCCCGATCGCAGCACTTCATGTTGGCTAGTCGAGATATTGAGAGTGTGACTAGGAGGGTGGGACGCTGGGGATTCTCAAAGGTATACCCTTGGAATGGCCGGATCCAGCCTTAAAAGTACGAGATCGCGCGCGCTTCGCGCACAGCACCGCCTGTTCTCCGCGGCTGTGTGACGCGCGCGTGCCGTGTACCAGCAGAGTTGGGCGCGCGCGGCGCGACGGCGCCCGCGAGGGAAGGCGCGGGTGCAGCGGCCGCCGGCGGCCGTGCCGCCCGCCAGCCGGCGCAGCAGCGGCCAGCGCCGTCGAGCGCAGCGGCCGCCGGCGCAGCAGCCAGAGCAGCCGGTGCGCGCCTTGCGAGGCGAGTACTGCCGCCCGGCAGCCTTGAGGCGGCCGGGCGGCAGTACTCGTTCGAACTTTGCGAGCCGTGCGCGCGCCGAGGCGCCCGCGGCGCGCGCCCGCCCGGCTGCTAGTAGGAGGCGGCGCAATATGGCCTATAGTACAGCCCTTGAGGAGGAGGAAGAGGCTGGCTGGCAGTGCTGTATGCCGCCGAGGGGCAGTTTTGGGGTGCTGTCACGGGCCCAGGGGGCTGCAGATGGCGTCCGCAGCCGGGACAACCCGCCCCCCCAGCCGAGGCCGGTCGAAGCCCACTTGAGTGCAGCCATGAGGAGTCCTCTTGGTGCTCCTGGCGGCCGTTGGAATGGCGAGCGCGCGCCGATGGGGGGGGGGGGGGGTCTTGCTTGCTCCACACCGAGCGCCATCGGTCCGGACCGGTGCTCCCACCGAGGGGTGGCCTGCACAAGGTCTGAGCCGCGGGCGCTCGGCGCAAAGTGCAGTTTCACGCTCGTGCTCGCGCGTGACAAACCGGGGAACCCTCGTTTCCTATGTACTCGGTCCCCCAACGGAAGAGGCCTCTCTCCTATTGGAACATTCCAACATCAGATTTGCCTCGTGCGTCCCTTTTTGAGACGGAAAGCTATTTTCTTTTGTGGGCACCCTAACTCTGTGAGAGGGCCGCAGAGCGGGGCGTCACGAGGGGTAAGCGAGAACGAAAGAAAACATGCGAGCACCGACGAGGCAGGAGGGATGGGAGACGGAGCCTGGCGAGGTACTTCCACTTCCAGCCTGCTGTGGGAACAGCTGACGCAGTCTCGCCGAGGCTCGCCCGTAGTATCCGGTGCATTCCGCCAGATAAAACTCCCAACGCGTGGGAGTCCTGCCTGCAGTCCTCGGACCGATGCCCATCGATCCAAGATCACACCGATACGAGTAGAGAGCGGGAGAGATGTGGCCGATCCTCCTCCTCTTCTCGCTCACGCCGCCGCAGCTTCCACCCCACCGAGCAGCGTCGAGGACCAGCCGCGCGGCGGCGCCTCGCGCAGTGGACGACGAGAGCAAAGGCGCGCTCGGCGGCGCTGTGCTCGGCGGGCTGATCGCGGGCCCGTTCGGCGCTCTGTGGGGCGCGTCGCTGGGCTCCTCGATGGGCGCCGCCGGACGAGAGAGGCGAGAGGAGGAGGCGCGACTCGCGGCGATGGGTCTCGACCGCGAGGCGGTGAGGCTCGCTGCAGCGCTGGCGGCGGAGCTGGCCGAGGCGGAGGCGTCCGTGAGCGCCTGCGAGGAGGCGGAGCGCTCGCAGAGCAACCTCGGCGAGCGCCTCGCGGCCGCGGCGGCTGAGCAGTACGCCGCCGCCGAGGAGAAGCTTCGAGCCGGGGACGAGGAGAGCGCGAGGGCGCTCTTGGTTGAGAGGCGCGGCGGGAGAGAGCGCAGGGTGGAGCGCCAGGGGCACCTCCCCACCTTCCCTTCCCCACCCCACAGGCAAGAGACCCAGGCGAAGGCCGCCCGCGCGGATGCGGAGCTGCAGGAGGCCCGCGACCGGACTCTCTCCGTGCGCCGTGCGGTCTCGGTGCTATCGACGCGCGCCGCAGAGCTCGAGGCGTCCCTGGACCAGGCAGCCGCGCGAAAGGCGGTCGGGAGCGGGCCGGTCGCTGGCGCCGTGGAGGCCGCGCCGCCAGAGGACCCGCTGCTCGCACGGTTCAAAGACCTCGAGGGCGGCAAGTGAGCGGCGAGGGAACGAGCGCTCAGCTAGGTAAACGGTGTTGTTGTCGCCCGCATCCGCCGCGTGCACGCGCGACTCGTGTGTTGCTCATGCTGTTCGTTCCGGTTTCGCACCGCCGTTACATCTCTCGCCACACCAAGCGGAACACGACACACCTCTCGTCTCGGTCGCGACACACGCGCGCGAGCTCCGAGCACGTCGTCGCGTCGATATTCACGCCCGTGCGCCGTGGCGTCGCGATCGCCGTGCGCGGGGGGACGGCGGACGGGCCGGGGAGGCACACAAAATCATTCTCCACACAACGAAAACGGATACGGAGCGCGACGGCCCCAGCTAAAAAGTCACCACCAAACACACCGACATGTACATGTGCATGTGCACATGCGAGTTCCACGGTTCGTGACGCACGCCCCACATCGGAACAGTCCCGTCACAAAGACAGCACTGGCTACGGGGAGGAAGCACGAACTATGGCGCATGTGCGAGACCGAAGACGAAAATCGATCTCTCCGCGGCGCGTGACCCGCGTCGGGGGCTCGCAGTCCACGCGCATGCGCCAAACCTGGCCTCTCTCAATCGAAAAGATCGAAGCCCATCTCCTCCTCCTCCTCCTCCGGCTCTGGCTCCGGGGCCTTGGCCTCCGCCGCCGGGGCCGCCGCGCCGCCGCCGCCGCCGCCGCCGCCGCCACCGCCGCCGCCGCCGCCGCCTGCCACCACCATCGCCGTCCCTATGCACGCCGTGAAGAGCGAGACCTTTGGCGTGACCATGTCGTTGGCGTAGGTAAACTCAGGAATTCCCGACGCCTGAGCGGCAGCGCGGCCACACGAGGTTGTGCGCCCACGTACAATCCGAGGTGGGGGTGGCACACAGTCGGTGTTTCGGGATGGCGGTGGCTGAGTGCAAAGGCGGCCGCAGCGGGCCAGTGGGAGGGAGCACCTCCTTGCACGCATCGTACATCGCCTTCTCCACCTCGAGCGCGGTGGCTCCAGTGCACTCGGGGAGGCCGTCCGCCATGTCGCCGAATGCCTTGGCCGTCCAGCCGTTGCCGTCCGAGACGACCTTGTAGTGGTAGGTGCCCTTCTGCGCGGCGCGGGAGGGCGGCGGGTGATCGGGGCGGCGGCGCGGGCGAACGCCAACGGGGCGCGCGCTCGAGGCACCTTCTGCTCGCCCATTGATTGATGCGGCAAGGCGCGCTCTGGCGCTCCTGGGGGGGGACGATTTTCGACGACTGGCGAGGGGTCCCAATGAGCTGGGCGTGGTTTGTGGTGGGCCTCTTCCTGTGGGTGGCATGTTGGCCGTACCTGTCGCCAATCAGCCGACGCTCGCCCCCGACGCACGTACTCTCTGTAGCTCAGGTAAAGGTAAGGGAAGGTAAGGACAGAGAACTCTCAGGGTGTCTGCAATGACACACACTCACTCTGCAAGGAGCCAAGAATAAGAAAAAAATCGAGCGTGAGTGGCGACATTCAGCATCAGGACGCCAAATGTGAATCTCTGAGAGGGCGGCGCAGTCGGAGAAGTTGTGACAGGGAGATCCTAGGGCGGCAGAGGTCGGTTTCCGCTTTTTTTCTCTGATGAGTCGAGATGGTGAAGCCAAAGCGCCGCGCGGTGAGCAAGCCTGCCTCCACGACCTATGTCTCGAACAGGGAGAGGCCTGCGCCTCCTCCACAAGCTCCTCCCCCGGAGGAGCCACATTACACTGAGTTGAAGGGGGAAAGGTATATGGAGAGCCTTCGCCCTCCGCGTGGCGCGCACCCCTCGGTCGGCGAGTGGCCGCCGGACAAGCAGTGGCTGGAGATGGGGGAGCAGATGGTGAACATGCGCGGGCTGGACATGTTCACGATCGTGGGCGAGTTCAGCGCCTGCTTGATGCTCGGCATTCATCTGGGCGGAGAGGATGAAGAGACGCATCGGGTGTGGGCGGACGTGCAGCGCAACTGCGGCGACTGGGGACCCAGGATCGTACGGAGCATCGTCAAGATGAAGATGGGTGACGCAGACGAGCGGCAGCTCGGCGATGCGGAGGCGTACCTGCTCACGCTATTCGACCGCTCGCAGCACGGGCCTCAGTACCTCCGACGCTTTGCAGAGGAGCTTCGGCCGGCTGTGGATTTCATCCACTCGGAGCACCGCTGGAAGAGGAGGCGGCCGGTGCACCCGGCGGATACGCCCGTCTGCTGGGCCTGGTGCGTGCCACGCGGTCTCGGCTCCGCGCGCGGCAGCTGACCTCCCTCTCCCCACGTCGCAGGGACGCGTGGATCATGCACAACAAGTTCGACAAGGTCTGGCTGGTCGCCATGGCCCTCCACGGCGTGTGCGGTCTCCTCGAGCACTACAAGCTGAAGACGCTCCAGGCAGAGCCGAAGACGTGCCTCCCTTTTGGCGGCGGCGCTGACTGCGCCGTCGACTTTGCGAACCCGGAGAGCGCGTGCAGAGAGTGGGTCTGCCTGCGGCCATGTGCGTCACTCCGGCCCGGCCCTCCGTGCGATCGCACCCGCCGATGCATGGTATCTCCCCCATTGCCACAGGCATGCATTGGATCTGCCGGAACTGCGCCGACAGGTGGCAGCAGGAAAGGGGGGTGCTTCGCGTGTGCCCAAAGGGCAACTGCGCCGTCGAGTTTGCGACGGTACACCTTTCACGCCGGGCCCGCCCTCCGAGTTGAGCTCATTTTTAGTTCCGAAAAAAGAGGTGTTAACGCCACAACGAGGTCCCCGGTCCGCCGCACATGTACCGCCTCTCAGCACAGAGGCGCATGACAGGTGCGTCACCGTCCCAGACCACACAGATCTGTGATCTGTGATCTGTAAGGGTCCGCCCGCAGGCGCATTTTGTATACCGAGGCGGTGCCCGGTGCCGAACCTGTCGGACCTTAAGACAGCATTGTAGATCCCTGGGCGAGGGTGATGGAGAGGGCGGTCTGTCGGCGCGCTAAACCGTAACCCGCCGGGGCGGGCCGGATCCACGCGCTGTCGGACCGCCCTGTCGGAGGTAGACCGCTCGTCTAGCCAATCAGCCTTAAGCGAGCGGTCTGGCCGTTGGAATGGCCGAGTTTGGTGGACTTGCGTCCTCGCATCGATCGTGGTTGTAGGGATATCGTTATGAACAACAATCACCACATGGGGAGGCGGCTGTCTCTGAAGGCGAACCTCAGTTACGAGCCACCCCCCCTACTTGCCTCCTCTTTGTTCCCTGGCTTTCTGTCTCTTGCGCGCCTGCTGTCCAAGCTGTGCCCCCCGCGTCTCGCCTCCTCGCACCCACCCCGGCGGGGGGGCGCCTTCGTGCCTTTCGTCCCCTGCAGTGCGTGCGCGCTCCTCCCCGTACGTCACCGGCCCCCCGTCCTCTGTGTGCTGTTGGCTCGCCCCCTCTCCCTGACTCGTCGAATCGCTACGTTCGTTCTCGGATCGCCCCCGCTTCCTCAGATCTGTGTACAGCGTGGCCTACCCCTAAAGCCGTAGAGCGAGCCGTATGCGTACGTGTATCTCTCTCGCAATCTCGGGGGTGGCAGTCGGTGCGACGCTCGACACACATTGAGGTCTCGACAGAAGGGAGATACCAGAGCGTCTGCGCGGCCGGCTCTCAGCGCCGCAGGCAGGCAGTAACTGATGCAGTACTATCACGCATGCTCGACGCGCTCCGCGCGGGCCGGTGGCGGTACAATCCCTCCCCCTTCTGCTGTGCCTCGAGGTGCCTCGCGAACGCCTTCACGGCGCCGCAACGGCACACTCAAAGTACCCCCCTCAGAGTTCGCGCCGGCACACGCGGGTGCATCTCTCATGCTGCCGCTGCCCCTCGTCGACAAAAGCTCCGCGCAACGTGTGCGAAAAAAGAAAAAGTACCTGCTCGGTACGATCGCAAGTGTGAATGGCAACAAGTTGTCGCTCCTCGAGTAAATTGGTGGGCGCCTGGAGCTCCTCCTCTGGCGCCCCTACGTAACGCCTACCTAGGACCCGGCATGACTCCGCCGCAGGTTGCAGGTGTGAGAGCTTAATGCGCAGGTTAACGCTGTAGTGTCCTCATCGACGAGACAGCAAGAAATTAGCGGAAAGAAAGAAAGAAAGAAAACACACAACCCAAGGGAGGGATGGGAGAACGGCACGCCGCCACCACACAGGGATTTTAAGGAGAGGAGTGTGATGCGCTAGCCGTCGCCCACCCTGGGGAGTCTGCCTCTTCGTATCTCTTTTCGCAGTCTCTCGCCGCTTCTCGCTGCAACCTTCATGCCACCTCGCGGCCGTCCCACTCTCGTCGGTCTCTCCCTTGTCACTTCCTCCTCTGTCGCGTCGTTAAATTAGCGGAAGCGGAAGAAGAGTGAGCTCGCATTTCTTTTCACCGCGACTGAATAGTCTACGCGGACAAGCAGCCATGGGCAAAGCACCCAGAGGCGCCCGTGGCGCTGCGGCGGCGCGCAAGGGTGTTGGTAAAAGCGCCAAAGAGCTGGCGGACAAGGAGGTGTTTGCCAAGAAGCCTTCCAGGGCGAGAAGGGGTGCTCCGAACAAGAGGGTCGAGACGTCAGTGGGAAACGCGTTCCGGCTGGTTGGCGGTTCGGACGACGACGAGGAGGCGCAGGCCTCGGAGGATGAGATGGGCGAGGAGGAGGTCGAGGAGCTCATGCCCCTCAAGGGCATGAGCGATGAGGAGGAGGAGGAGGACGACGACGACGATGACGACGACGAGGAGGACGACGAGGAGGGTGAGGAGGATGAGGGTGAGGAGGAGGAGGAGGGCGAGGAGAGCGAGGAGGGCGAGGAGAGCGAGAGCGACGACGAGGACGCCTCGCGGGGCGGCTCCGCCCTCGGCGCCGGCTGGGGGCGCAAGAAGAACGCCTTTTACGGCGGGGATGACGCCGCCGACGCCGACTCGGACGAGGAGGGGTCGATGGACGAGGAGGACGAGGGGCGGGCGGAGCGGCTGGAGCACGCGGAGGTGCTGGCGGTCCAGCGCCAGCAGCTCAAGGACCTCGCCGCCGACGACTTTGGCGCCCTTCCGGGCGGCGGCGGCGCGAGCGGCGGCGGTGCGAGCGGCGGCGGCGAGAGCGCGGGCATGGTCGTGGAGAGGCTGGAGCGGGACCTCTCTGCTTTGAGCGAGGCGGAGAAGGCGCGGCTGCTCGAGGCGGAGGCGCCCGAGCTCGTCTCGCTGCTCGACGACTTCAAGGCCATCGTCCCCGACGTGCGCGAGCGCCTCGAGCCGCTGCTGCTCGCGGTGCGGCAGCGCCAGCTGCCTGCGAGCCCGGGCGTGGCGCTGCTGCAGCTCAAGCTGCAGCTGCTGCTCTCGTACTGCACCAACATCGCCTTCTACCTGCTGCTCAAGGCCTCGGGCAGGCCCGTGCGCGACCACCCCGTCGTCGCCTCCCTCCTCCGCCACCGCGTGCTCATCGACCGGCTCGCGCCGCTCGACAAGGCGAGCTCTGGCCGAGATGCGGCCAAGCTCTGGCCGAGCTCTGGCCGAGCTCTGGCCGAGATCCGGATGCGGGCGAGATGCGGGCGAGAAGCGGCTGGGAAGCGGGCGAGATGCGGGCGAGACCTGGCTGGGACCTGGCCGGGACTTGCTGTTGGTGCCTCGCGCCACTCACACAATCCTTCCTCCGCTGGTTGACCAGGCGATGCGCTACCGCGTGCAGAAGCTGCTCCAGACCGCCGCCGACGGCGCCACCGCCGCGCCGACCGACGCGGACGCGGACGAGCTGCGCCACAAGCCGAACCCGCAGGCCCTCCTCGCCGACGGCGATCTCGACGACGATGCCGCCGGCGCCGGCGGAGGCGGAGGCGTCTACAAGCCTCCCCGGCTCGCTGCGGTGGCGTGTGGCAGGAGGGGGTCCGGCGCACAGCGAGCAGCCTCCTCTGAGGCCTGTGTGAGCCTCGCCCGTAGGTGCCGTACGAAGAGGAGCGCGGCGCGGGCCGGCGCGAGCGGCAGCGCGAGCGCGCCGTCGCGCGAGCCTCTTCCTCGCGCATGGCTCGCTGCTGCGAGAGGAGCGGCGCTGCCTCGGCCTGCGAGCTCGCACGACGCTTCCGCGAACCTTCGCGTAGGTGCGCGAGCTGCGCGAGGAGTTCTCGAGCGCGCCGCGCCAGATCCACGCCGACGACTTCGGCTGCGGCCACGCGGCGGACTCTGCCGCTGTCTCCAAGCTGCGGCACGAGGAGGCCGAGGTGCGCGCGTACGAGGAGGCAAACTTCTCTCGGCTCGCCCTCTCCAAGGAGCAGAAGCGCGAGCTGCGCCGGAGGCACGCGGCGGTCGAGCGTGGTGCGCCCCCCCCCCCCCCCCCCCTTCCCTGTCCCTCCCCTCTCTCGCTTCTTCTGCCGTACCTTCTGACGGCTCTCTCTCTCGCAGGCGACGAGCTCTCGCAGTTCGACGACGACTTCTCGCACCTCTACTCGGTGAGCAAGAGCGGCAAGGCGGCCGACCCGCGCGAAGAGCGCGAGAAGGCGCTCCGCCAGTACATGGCCTCCCTCGAGCAGCGCGGCGCCAAGGGGCGCGCCGCCGGCGCCGCCGACACCTCCGCGCCGGCGCAGACGCGCGAGTCTCGCGAGGAGTCGCGCAGGCAGCGGCGCGCGGCGGCGGCGCGCAAGCGCGGCGCCTCCGGTCTTGGCGGCGACGGCAGCGACGGCGACGGCGGCGACGGCGCGGAGGTGGAGGAGCACCCCATGTACGCGGAGGTGGAGGCGGCCGGCAAGGCCAAGCGGCAGCGCAAGGCGGACGCGGCGGCGGCGTCGGCGGCCGCGTCGGCGGCCGGTCGCGACGAGGCGCGGCGCGAGCTCGAGGCGGGCGACATGGCGGGCGACGGCGACAAGCGCGAGGCTGGCCGGCAGATCATGAAGAACCGCGGCCTCACGCGCGAGCGCAAGAAGGTGCCGCCCGGCCGGCTGTGAGGTCGCCACCCCCTCGCACAGCGACGCGCCACTCACCGCCCCCCTCCCTCCTCGCTTCAGATCGACCGCAACCCGCGCGCCAAGAACCGCGAGAAGTACCGCCGCGCCGTCATCAAGCGCAAGGGCCAGGTGCGCGACGCAAAGGCGCAGGAGGGCGCGTACGGTGGCGAGAGCTCAGGCATCAACCAGAACGTCACCCACTCGCGCCGCTTCGGCTGATGGGCCCGTGGCGGGCGGCTCGGCGGCAGCCGGCACAGTTGGCTGCGGGCCTGGCGGAGGCCTTCAGATTTGCCGTCGTCGCTCCCGCGGACACATTGGAATGTGTGTCTCACGTGTGAGTCGTTGTGGGACATATCACATATGCGCGGCGCGCGAGATCTCTAGCATCTACCGCACTACAGCGGTGTAGCTACTGCGCGGGGACAGCTGTGTGAGAGAGGTAAAGGCGTGAATCCAAATCCGGCAGAAAATACCGTAATCGCGAAAGCCGAAACGTCAAACGATCAAGTATCAAGAACACACGAGTCGAAAAACCCGCGCGCCCCCCAGCCCCACCGCACGCACCAATGGCAATGCCGCGCGAGTCCTCTGTCCTCCCGGGCCCGCTCCACCGCGCTCACTCGCACTCGTACGAGAAGGGGCCGCTCCACTTCGGGAAGGCGCGCTTGTACAGCGACATGCACACCGTGTCGTGCTGCTGCATCGTGCCGTCAAAGTAGCACTTCATGTAGCCGTGCGTGCCTGCAGGGCAAAGGCGGGCGGCGTGAGAGCGTGCTCTGCTCTGTAGAAGCTGGACGTGACGGTTTCACGCCATCCCACAACTGGCCGTGCGTGCCGAGCGGCTCACGGGGTGTGGCGACGCGGTGCCTCTCGGCTACTCTCGGGTGCATCTCGACGGATCTCGGCACCGAGCGACGAGCGGATGTGGCCCTTGCGCCCAAACTTGGTGTGCAACTCGACGGGCTTGAACCAACGCACGTCGTCGGGCGAGAAGAACATCCAGCGGACGGACGCCTTCTTCTTGTGGCAGCGGAAGGGCGCGCCCGTGAGCAGGATCCGCTTGAGGATGATCCGGTCCGCGTCGACCGACAGCAGCGCGCCTATATGACAGGGCGGGCTGTGGCGCAGAGGCGGGGGAGAGGTCGGCGACGCGAGACAGAGAGCGGCGCACCACTTGCGACTGGCAGGCCGGCGAGCTGCGGCGTCGCGCGCAACGCCTCGCCGTCGGGCAGGAAGGCGAGCAGCGGGCAAGGCGCGTACATCGCGGGCGCGTAAACCGTCGCAACCACCTGCCGGCCCGGCTGCACGAACCGCTCGAGCTTGTGCTTGGTGGAGCGGCGGTTGTCTTCCGAGAAGATTGGCCGCGCGGCGTACCGGCGGAAGCCCGCCTGCAGCACGAGCGGCGCCTATGGGAAGAGTCCTAGTCGGTTCCTAGAAGGCTCCTAGAAGGTTTGCCCGCCTGCAGCACGAGCGGCGCCTTGCCGCGCAGCACCAGCTCCGCCGCCTGGAGAGGGCGCGGGGGGAGGCTCCGAGGAGTGGGGGCTAGGGAGGCGGGTGAGAGGGTGGGGAGGGGGCGGGCGAGCGGGAAAGTGTGCCGGAAAGCGGGAAGGAGGGGGAGAGGGTGCGGCGGGGCGGCGTGCAGCGACCACCTCCGCCGCGGCGGTGAGCGAGAGGGTGAAGTGCAGCACCGCCAGCCGGTTCTCGTGCGTGTTGAGCGACGAGAGGACCAGCGGCGCCGCCGCCTCTCCGGCCTGGCCGACGCCGCCCTCGGCGCCGTACAGCTCGACAAAGCGGCGCGGCACCCGCAGCTGCAGCCGGACGTACGAGCCGGCGGGCGCGCGTCCCTCGGGTGGCTCGTCGACCGCCTGCAGAGGTCACGGCCCGGACGCGTCACGGACGTGTCGTGGACGCGCCCCTCTGTGGAAGGTGGGGGAGCGAAGCAAAGGAAGGGGGAGAGGAGGGAGGGGGGCCAGAGAGAGGCTCGTCTTAGGCTCGCCTGCTCCTTGAGCGCCTGCCGCTGCAGCGTCGGCCAGTGCTCAAAGTGGAAGACGCGGCCGTACTCTGCAGCGGACGGAGGAGGCGGGTGGGTCGGGGGGTCGGGGGGGTGGGTCGGGGGGGTCGGGGGGGGGGCGAACGGCGTGTGTGCATCGGGCGAGGGAGAGCCCGCCTGGCGGCAGATTCTCCCGCGGGTGCCACGGAGAGGACTTGAGCGAGGCGAGGCCGCGGTAGCGCGCGAAGCGCACGCGCGCCGCCACGTCGACGGGCGTGTCCACCTCGTCGGGGAACTTTGCGTCCTCGTCCCGCGCCGCGCGCTGCTGCAGGTATGCGCGCCGCGCTGCGCCGTCGTCCTCCTCGGCCGCCGCCTCCTCGTCGGCGTCCATCGCCTCGTCGTCGTCGCTGTAGCCGCCCATCGCCTGACCCATCGCCGCGCCGCCCTCGCCGTCGCTCTCGCCCTCCGCGTCGCTCTCCGCATCGAGCGCGCCCGTCCAGCCCCGCTGGTAGTCGTCGTCGTCGCCGCGCGCCCCCGGGGGCGCAAGGCGCGCCTAAGCACGGCGCGCTTTCGGTGAGTGGTGCGGTGGCTGTGCCGCTGGGGGAGGGCTCGGGCATGCGAGGCGCGCGCGCGGTGGCGTGTGGGTGGGAGAAGGGGGGGGGGGGGGGGGCAGGAGCCCGAGTCGCACCGTGGCGACTCTAACTACTACTACTACTACTACTACTGTAATAATAATAATAATAATAATGATAGAGTCGCACCGCGGCGAGCTCGGCCTCAGTCGGCCAAGTCTGCTCTCCTGCGAGCGAGTCGGGCTCCGCCTCGTACTCGCGGTCCATCACGCGCCGCGCGGAGAGCAGCCGCTGCCCGCCGCCGCCCGCCCCGCCGCCCGCCTCGTCAAACTCCATGCCCGCCCCGTCGCACTCCATCACGCCCCCCTCCACCTCCATCGACGATCCGGCGGCGGACGCCGCCGTGCCGCCGCCGCGCCTCGGCCGCAGAGGATCGGCCACTACGGCCGCCGACTCGATGGCGAAATCGCCGAGCCCGGGCACCTACAGCGCAACCACAGCTCGCCTCCGGCCCCGTCCGCCGCTGCACCCGACCAGAGCAGCCGAGTCACGTGGAGCAGCCGCTCGGCGGACAGGTCGAGGCCGCGCACGTACCCCTCTACCTCGAGCAGCCCCTCCCCGCCCTCCCCGCCCTCCGCGCCGTCCGCGCCGCCGTCCGCGCCTCCGCCGCCCGGCCGGTACGAGTGCCGGTGCGCAAGCAGGTACGAACGCTGCTCGCGCCTAGGAGAAGGCGGGGTCGCGGGGCCGGCTCGAGAGCGACGTGCCGTTGCGGTGGGGTGGCCGAGGTGCGGGGTGGGCTGGGAGGCGGTCGCGCGGCGGGCGAGCTTGCGCGGAGGTGTCCAGGAGGCGTCTAGGAGGTGACTGGGAAATGACTCGGAGGTGTCTCGTCGCGCGCCAGGCGAGCTTGCGCGGAGAGATGCCGTCCACGTGCCGGAGCAGCGCCGCGCAGGCCTGGTCCTGGTCGAGCGAGAAGAACTTTGCCTGCTCGGGGAAGCGGGCGTGCAGCGAGGCGGCCCACTCGCGCCTCGCCGCCGCCTGCGGGAGACGGGGCGGCCGGGGGTTGGGAGACGGGCCGAGGGTGCGAAGAGGCGCGGAGAGCACGAGAGGTGCGGGAGGGTGCGGAAGCAGCAGCTGTGGGGCGAAGGCAGCGCCTGCTGCTTTGGAGGCAGCTGCTCCGCGCCGGTTAGCACGCCGACGACCGCCCCGACGCCCTGCATGCAGACGGCGTCCACAATCTCTTCGCCGCACACGTCGAGCCCGCCTGCGGTCGGGGGAGGGGCGTGCGCCGCCGCCGGCGGGTGAGCTTGCGCGTGCGGCTCGGAGGTGTCTGCGCGGCGCTAGGAAGGGTTAAGGGGGGTGCCCAGAGCCACACCCTCGGCAGTGCTGGCACGAGTCGGGGCGACCGTCTCGCACAGTGGCCTCGTGGCGAGGCATCCCCGAGCCTAGCCACGCGACCGCTACCCCCGCGAGGCCACCGCACGAGCGCCACCGCCCTGCCGGCACTGCGCTGCTGGTAGGGTGTGGTGCGCGGGTAGGCCGTGGCGGCGGATCAAGTACTTGAATAAGGTTGTGCGTGTGGTCGTGTGGCGAGGCCATCCCTTCGCTGCAGTGCGTGACTCATCCTCTCCGCGCGCCACGCGGCGGTGTCCCCAGTGGCCCCTCGCCAGGCGACCGCCCGCGAAGGGCTTGCGAGTGTGGTGTGTGTGGCAAGGCAGTCGAGCGCGCCGTCTGCGGGAATGGCGAGGACCATCACATCGCCCGCCTTCATCGCGTCGAGCACCGAGTCGACGCGGCGGCTCGGGCGGAGGACGGTGAAGCGCTGCCGCGCCGCTGTCGCCGCCGTCGCGCCATCGGCCACCGCCGCGTGCGAGAGCAGCTGCTCCCCGATCGCCTCGGCCTGCGCGTCTTCGCCCGCCGCGACGATGACGAGGACGCGGGGCGGGACGGCGGCGTCGGCGTCGGCAGCGGCGCGCCGCGCCGCGACAACCTGCGTCTGCTTGGCCTGCCGCGCCTGCTTGGCCATGTTGCGGCGGGCCTGCTTGCCCGCTTCGGCCTTTGCGACGCCGCCGCTCGGCCGCGAGGAGCGAGGCTGGAGGTGCCGCCGACGCGCACCCTTACCAGCGCCGCCCTTGGCCATGGCTGGGAGTGGACGTCGAGGAGCGACACCAGAACGGGCTGCGTGGCCGAGAGCCTGAAAGAGAACTTTCCTTTCGGCGGGCCTGTCCCGGAAAGTGAGAGACGCCGGGCAGCGTTGTGCATGACTTCAACCTCCCATACGTATTTTCGTTCGCTTCTCCCTTGGGCTGTTCCATCTTCCCATCTTCTTCCAGCTCATCAGGCGAGGCGGGGGGGGGCGCGGGTGCGGGGTGCGGTGCGGTGTGAGTGTGTGTGCATGTCGTGTGGCTTCAGCAAATGTCCATCCGTCTGTGTTATTATTAACAACGAAGGGGCTCTCAAAAAAGAGAAAGGAGTGCCGGGCCCTCTCCTCGAGCGCTGCGCACGCATTCCCCCCTTCCGCTTTTGGCATCAGCTGAACTTGACCGGACGGGGGGAAGAAAAAATTGAGAGCAGGACGCCGGGTTTGTCTTGTATGTGCGTGTCGGGCCGGGGTGTGAGCGAGGGGCAGAAGGGGCGGGGACGTGCGGGGCAGAGGCCCAACGTCGGGCGGCTTGTCGGTGTCCGGAGAATTCGAGGGGGGAACGACGAGGGGGGGATGGGCGGTCGGCGTCGGGGTAGAAGCGACAGGGCGTACGGGGTAGCCGTCACTTTCCTGCCTCGAAAGGGCGGGGCTGTCCCGGAAAGTGAGAAACGCCGGGCAGCGTGGCGCACAACTGAACCCTCCCATACGTGTTTGGGGCTTTGGGCTCCTCCTTTGCTGTCCCATCTCCTCGTCTCTTTCCCGCCTGGGCGGGGCGGCGGGCGGACGCGCGGTGCGGTGCGGCGTGTGCGTGTGTGCGACTGCGACAGAGAACCACTCGAAAGGGACCATTGGGCTTGTATTATCAACAACGAAGGCAAATTTCAAAGAAAAAAAGCACTTCACACTTGACGACGCTGACATAAACGGTGCGGGGCACCAGTGTCATGAGGACACTTTCTGCGAGTGCTTCACACGGCGCGGCGGAGGCGGCGGTGGCGGGGGAGGCGGAGGGGGTCCGCCTGCCTGCACCTCTCTAGCAGCAACAGCACCCGGTACAGGGGCGTGTACGAGGACAAAAAATCTCGCCGCTTCCGGGCGCAGCGCAAGGTTGACGGCAAGAATGTCTCCCTCGGCTGCTTTGGCACGGCCGTGGAAGCGGCGGTGGCCTATGCGCAGGCGGTCGGGGAGACGCCGCCGGTGGCGGCGGAGGCGGAGGCGGTGGAGGAGGCGGAGGCGGAGGCGCAGGCGGCGGCGCAGGCGGAGGCGGTGGAGGAGGCGGAGGGCTTGCGCTTGCACCTCTCCAGCCACAACCACACCGGCTACAAGTGTGTCTACAGGCTCACCTCTGGCAGCTTCGAAGCCAGTAAGTACGAGAACGGCAAGGCAGTCTATCTGGGCTGCTTCGGCACGGCGGTCGAGGCGGCGGTGGCCTACGCGCGGGCGGTCGGGCGGTCGGCGGAGGCGGGGCCATCGTCATCGGCGGCAGAGTCAGAGGCGCCGCCAGCAGGCTCTGTGGCGGCAACTCCTTCCGCCGTCGCCACCGTCTCCCCTGCCTTCTCCGCCGGCACGTTTGCGGAAGGAGACCACGTCTCGTCGGCACCGGGGCGCGCGCAGCACGGCAGGTGCGCAAAGTGGTTCCCCGCGCGCATCGCCGCAGTCAACGCAGACGGCACGTACGACCTGGCCTACGAGGACGGAGACGAGGAGGAGGGGGTGGCGGCCGGGCTCATCCGGCCCGCGCAAACGCAACCGTCCACGCAGGCAGAGGGCAGGAGCCCAAAGGCGCGCAAACTCGCAGAGCCGGCCGTGCCGCCGCCGCCGCCGCCGCCGCCGCCGCCGCCGCTGCCGCGGGAGGAGCTTCCAGAGCCGCCAGCAGAACCTGTGCCCGGGCTGGAGCGTCGAGCAGCGCACGACCTCCTCGGAGCGCACGTACGCCATCTACCACAGCCCGGCGGGGCTGCGCGCCGCCTCGCTGACCGACGCGTGGCGCAAGCACGACGCGGAGGCCGAGGCGGAGGCGCTGACGCTAAACTGGCTGGATCGGCTGCCGCCGCGCCGGCTCAAGCCGCTCTGCGAGGAGAAGGGGCTGCCGACGTGCGGCAACTCGGAGGCGCTGGCGAGGCGGCTGCGCGAGAGCGGCGGTCTGAGCGTGTCGCAGCTCAAGGCGCTGTGCGAGGCGGAGGGCCTCGTCAAGCAGGGCACCAAGGCGGAGATCGCGCGGCGCCTGCGCGACAAGCTGCGTCGGGAGGCGGGCGCCACTGCTGCCCCCGAGGCGGCCTCTTCTCCGTCGGCCTCGGCAAGCGGCAAGGGCACCAAGCAATCCCACGACGCGTCGTCGTTTCGAGAAGCGCTTGCGGCGGAGCCGGCAGCGGCGGTGGTGCCGGAGGCGGAGGGCTTGCGCCTGCACCTCTCCAGCAGGTCCGACAATCGCACCGGCTACGTCGGTGTCTTTGCGCGGGGACCACGCTTCGAGGTCTCCCACCGCCGTGTCTACCTGGGCCACTTCGACACGGCGGTGGAGGCGGCGGTGGCCTACGCGCGGGCGGTGGCGGCGGCCGGGCAGGAGCCTGTGGCGGCTTGCGCGCGGGCGTTCGGGCAGGCAGGATCGGGGGAGGAGGCGGAATCGGAGCCAACGGCGGCGCTCCGCGCGGACGAGATTGTGACGGCGATCGTGTGCGACGGCTGCGATGGCGGTTTCGAGCTGCCGCCGGGGACGCTCGCGCCCGAGGGCGAGTGGTTTTGCGCGGCGTGCTATGCTCGCGAGGTAGCGGGGGCGCCTGCTCTTTCACCACCGGCGGAGGCGGCGGCGGAGGCGGCGGCGGCAGCGGCGGTCGTGCCGGAGGCGGAGGGTTTGCGCCTTCATCTCTCGAGCAGCAACCCGACCGGCTACACGGGCTTGGTCCAGCTACCCTCCGGGCGCTTCCAGGTGCGGCGCCGGATGGGCGGGAGAGAGAAGGTCTCCCTCGGCATCTTCGACACGGCGGTGGAGGCGGCGGTGGCCTACGCGCGGGCGGTCGGGGAGGCGCCGCCGGTGGCGGCGGAGGCGGCGGCGGAGGCGGCGGCGGAGCCGGCGGCGGCAGCGGCGGTCGTGCCGGAGGCGGAGGGTTTGCGCCTTCATCTCTCGAGCAGCAACCCGACCGGCTACAAGGGTGTCTACAGGCTCACCTCTGGCAGCTTCGAAGCCAGTAAGTGCGAGAACGGCAAGGTAGTCTATTTGGGCTGCTTTGGCACGGCGGTGGAGGCGGCGGTGGCCTACGCGCGGGCGGTCGGGGAGACGCCGGCGGTGGCGGCGGAGACGGCGGCGAAGGCGGCGGCGGAGGCGGCGGCGGAGGCGGAGGCGGCAGCGGCGGTGGTGCCGGAGGCGGAGGGCTTGCGCCTGCACCTCTCCAGCCGCAGCCCGACCGGCTACACGGGCGTCAACAAGGAACGACGCCGCTTCCGAGCGAGGTTCAACGTTACCCACCTCGGCTGCTTCGACACGGCGGTCGAGGCGGCGGTGGCTTATGCGCGCGCGTTCGGGGAGGCGGCGGCACAGAGCAAGGGCACCAAGCGCCCGCGCGACGCCTCGCTGGCGCCTGGTGGCCTCACAGCATCTTCTCGCGGCGTACCGGGCTCTGCCGAGTTGGAGGGCGGCGGGAGTAGCCGCGAGGAGTGGCAGAGCGTGGGCCCGTATGTCGGCCGGCGGCTGCTGCGGCGGCTCGAGGGCCACGGCGACGTCCACGCGGCGGTTCGGCTCTATCTGCCCGAGGTAAGATCGGCCGAGATTCGCCGAGATTCGCCGAGATTCGCCGAGATACGGCCTACTTGCTCGTGGGCGGAAGCGACACACGAGACCGTGCTAACCGTCAGGCGGAGGACGAGCCCGCGCTATGGCGCATCGAGCACGACAACGGCGACGGAGAATCTCCTCGATCTGACTCTCCAAACGGCGTCTCTCCACACTCGCCTTTTGCGAGTAGGCGACGAGGAGGACCTCGAAGAGCACGAGCTGCGCGAGGCAGTGCAGCGGCTCGCCAGTCGCACCGCCAGAGGCGTGACCTTGTACGAGCCCGGCTCAGGCTGGCGGACCTACGATGGCGGCTCTCCGCAGAGCTCGGGCCTTCTGGAAGATGCGGTGGATGGCGACGAGGCGTTGTCCGTCGTCGCCGCCGTTGTAAGCGACGGCGACGGGTCCGAGGACGGCTCGGCGGACGGCGCGGAGGTCGTCGAGATGGCGTTCGACGGGACGAACGCTGTCGGATCTGGCCGCAGCTCGGGCGAGCCGAGCGGCGGGTCCGACGTTTTGATCGCGCCGGGTCGCGCCCGGCCGCCACCGCCGCCCGCCGGGTGGGTGTGGCCGCGCGAGGGGGGTGTGATCGAGGTGGAGGTGGAGGAGGAGGAGGGGCAGCCCGCCGCGTGGCTCCGCGCGACCGTGACGGCCGTGCTGGAGGACGGTTGGTTTCAGGCGCTGGTCCGCACGCCGTCCGACGAGGCCCGATGGCACGACTGGTTCTCGTGGCGCGAGGAGGGCACCGATTGGCGGCGCGTGCCGCTCCGCCAGGAGGCAGCGGCGGAGCCGTCGTCGTCGGCGGCGGCGGCGGCGGAGCCAGAGGCGGCCGAGCCAGAGGCGGCCGAGCCAGCGGAGCCATCGAGCCAGCGAGGCGGTGCGATTGAGGCGGCGCTTGCGGGCCCGGCGCCGTGGTCGCGGGCTGAGGAGCAGCACCTTAGCGAGGCGATCCGCGAGTCCATGCCCGCGATCCACGCGCGCTTCGCCGCAAAGGAAGGCGGCAGCACCGCCCGCTCGGCTGAGGAGCTAATGGGTCGCTTCGTCGCGGCCGCGCGCTGGCAACGCGCTGAGGCGGCCGCGCGCTGAGTCGGCCAGGGAGCAGGGGCAGGGCGCGGCGTGGATCTGGAGAGTTGGATGAGAGACAACGAGACGGGTTGTATGCTGACGTGCGGGTGTGGTGGGGGTGGGGCGTGGGGGTCAGGTGAGAGCAGGTATTCGAAGGGGGAGGTGCCAGGGGTGGGGATGGCTGCACCTCTCCGTGCGGGTATTTGGGGCCCACACTTGAGGCGAACTGCGGGTAAATCAATATTTTTGAACGGATGAACGCGAGCTCGTGGGGTCCACGAAAGCACCGCTTGGCGGTGTCAGAACCGCCCTCTTTGACCTGGGGGGCCGAATCCGCGCCCTCTGGGCCCCGGCGGCGGTCCCGGAGAGGGCCAGCACGCGGGCTCCGCCGACGCTCTCGCAACGCGGGTCGCGCCGCGCGCCTCCCGGACGAAGCGTGTTGGTGCGCGACGGCGATCCTCGCCTGCGGGGAGCGGAGCACACGCGTCGGATGGCGAGGGCAGCACAAATATTGCACTCACGTCCCAGTACGGCAGCAGCGGGACGGGTTGGGTGGCGTGAGGACAGGGTGGTGAGGATTATTCCACAGATCTCGCTGAAAATGGCCGTGTCCTTCCCGGGGGAGGCAGGCGAGCACGCACCTCGCGTCCGAGCGCGAGTCGACGAGTGGTCGCGGAGAGATCGCCGAACCACATTCGAGTGCGCGCGCACACAGCACGGCTGCGGGGTGTAACTCGACTGCCAATCGCGCGCGCGGGATCTGAATGGAGCTCGCTGGCGCCAGTGCACGGCAGCACCGCCTAGTATCTCGGCCGGAACGGAGGCGCAGTCCCCAATCGACACGTACAGCTCTAGAGGTCGCTGGGCTGGATCTGTTGAACTGCCACACACCTAGAGCGGAGGCACGTTAGGGCTTTGTGACAAGTCTCCAACTTCGTGCATGCCGTTTGGGTAAGCCCACGCGCCTCCGTCGCCACGCAGTGCCTCAGTGGCACGCTGGCACGCCCGCTGAACTTGCGCGCTCGGCCTCAACCGGTGGCAGGTCTAGCCGGGCCCGATTCATGATGCTTTTGATGTTTGCGCGCCGGATCTCGACTCCACCGTGCTACGGTGCGTCCCAAAGCAAAACTTGTGGCAGAGGGGCCAGATTGGCCGATTTTTAACAGCGCGTCTGAAGGCTATTTTGCCGCGACACCGATACGCGGTTGAGGGCCCGCGGTCGTGTGGCTAGTGGAAAAAATTAGATATTTGCCCCCCTCCGAGACTAGGGACAGTCACCACAGATACATACGTCTGTGGGAGTGCGCCTCGCCCCCGCTTGCCCTGACTGCACAGGATAGCGTGCCCCGATTACGGCGACACTGCGCAAGGAGGGGGTGCGACGACTTTCTTTTGTCCTCTCGAGGGAATGTTCTCTCGGCGCCCATGGCCTTCTGAGGTTTCGTACTAATGACGTCCTTCTTGGCACTTCGGGCGTCGGTGTGTGCGATCTGTGGTGTCTAATTCCCTCGGTATGCTATATAGGTTTCCCGAACAGAGACCTTCTTTTCAATTCCAGCGTATCTTGCTGGAAGCCTTCCCGCTGGCGCGGGCGAGGTCCCCAGTTCGAAACCTGGTCGACCCTTATACTTTTTGTTCACACCTGGAGTGGGCTCAATTTTGCTCAGGTGACAGGTGCTCCTACACGAATTCGAACTCGTGTCCTCACGCTTAGCGCTTTGTGGTGTGTGTTCGTTTTTCGTCACGGGAGATTCGTGTGGCTAGTGGAGGGTGCTGTACAATCCGAGGGCGTTCATCCCATGGCCTCACGGGCCCGGGCGACGATCGTGGCTAGGAAAAATAAGAGGGCTCCCGCGGCGATCAACACCGCAACTCCTTTTCTAAATTTCACCACTCTTCTTACGCGCGACGACGCTACAGCCTACCAAACACTCGCCCAGCAGCCGCCGCTTCGTCTCGTCGGAGACGTGCACGCAGCGCTGCAGCAGCGCCGCCGTCTCGTCCTCGGGCCGCTCCAGGTCCATGACGACGTTCGTCGAGGCGTGGAAGCGCGTCTCCAGGTCGATGGCCGCCTGCTCGGCCGCGGCGAGCTTGCCCTGGTCGACGCACATGCCGCACACCGCGTGCGCCGGGCAGCCGCACTGGCCGCGTTGTGGGCGCACGGTCTTGGCGACCGCCGGCGCTGCGCGCCGGTCGTGCTGCTCACGCTGCCGGCGGCGCTGGTCGCGCGCCTGCCGATCGCGCGTGTTCGCGGCGGCTGCATCTCCTGCTCGTTTCGCTCGCACCCGAGCGGCGGTCGCCAGGCGCTTCAGGTCGGCGGTGCTGCGCGCGCGGCCGTCGGCTCTGCACAGCCACATGTCCTCCTCCTCGGCAGGCTCGCACGGCTTGCCGTCGAACTGCGGCGGGAACCCGCGACGACGCTTCGCCCAGGCCGGGCACGATGGTGCCGCGACGAGCGGCGTCGAGGCGACGGCCATCGATGGGTCCAGAAGACTTGGAGACACTTCTAAACCAAAAGCGAGCACAAGTGCGTTACATGGGCATGGCCGGCGTTTCTGCACCGAACGATCTTACTTTCGGTCTATCGAAAGTGTTGATCGATAAAAGAAGTACCATCCAGATCCGTGGGGGCGAGAGACTGGGGCGGCGAGAGTTTTACTTGTGTAGCTCGATTTTGACCCAGAACTACACAGAACGGCCCCAAATCGGCCCGGAACCGACCCGTGGGCCCGTCTGCCGCACCCAGCTCCGCCGGGAGGGGCGCGCGCCGTTCCCCGCGGCTAGGGCGGGCCACGCAGACGCGGCGGGAGAGCTTCCCGTGCCCCGTGAGTGCCGCCACACCGCCTCAAATAGGTCCCAAAGTGGGGTTTGCCTCGAAGTGCTGTGCGGTTGTGCGCGAGTCTCAGAGCCCACCTGACTCTTGAGACTCCATATCATATCTCTGTTCACTGTTGCGCGGCGCCCCTTGTGGCCCTGTTGGCACGCTGATAGCGCTACTCGTCCTCGTCGGTTGCGGCGCCAGCAGAGCTCGCTCACGCATTGTCTTCCAGCATGCAGCCCTGGCCGTCCGACTCCTCACCCGCATTCTCCTCGAGCACGCAACCGCCCTCCTCCTCCTCCTCCTCATCGTCCTCCACGTCCCGCCCGCGCGCCTGCCCGCCGCCGTCCGGGTTCTCCTCCAGTATACAGCCGTCCTCGTCCTCGTCGCTGTCTTCGACGTCCCGCCCGCGCGCCTGCCCGCCGCCGTCCGGGTTCTCCTCCAGTATACAGCCGTCCTCGTCCTCGTCGCTGTCTTCGACGTCCCGCCCGCGCGCCTGCCCGCCGCCGTCCGGGTTCTCCTCCAGTATGCAGCCACTGCCGTCCTCGTCGTCGTCCGCCTCGCCATCAGCTTTGCCCTCGCGCGTGCGCCCACTCTCCTCCGCGCCGTCACGTGTGCGCGACCCGCCCGCGGCGGTGGGGTCGCCGCCCGCCGCCTCCGGCAGCGCCTCCGCATAGTCCACGTCATCCTCCGGCAACTCTGGCGGGGGAGGGGGCGGGGGCGGCGGCGGCGGCGCGGCCGGGTCCGCCTCGAAGAGCATCAGCCGCCGGTGCGTCACCACCTGCGCGACGCGCCGCTGCAGGAAGCCGGCGTCCTGTCGCGAGAGCGGTGGCGGGAGGTCGAGGCTCGAACGCAGCTCGGGCGCCTCTCGGGTCATCTCGGACGCATCTCGTACCGTCCCACACCATCTCGGGAGAATCTCGGATCATCTTGGGTCGTCTCGGACTGCCCTCGGCCTGCACGTCGATGAGGAGCGAGTCGCTCTCTGCCCGCGCGCAGATGACTGCGAGCTTGCCTCCGGGTGCGAGCAGAGCGCGGAGGGAGCCGACGAGTCCCTGCGGATGGCGGGGAGAGGCGCGGAAGCGTCTCGGTGCTGTCCTGCTGTCGCGGCGGGGTGGGCGGCGGGGGCGGGAGGTGTCGCGGAAGTGTCGCGGAAGTGTCGCGGAAGTGTCACCTCGCGAGCGTGCTCCGGAACGAGCTCGAGCACGTCGCAGAGGAGGACGAGGCTCGCCTTGGCGCCGCCGGGGAGCGAGGGCGCCGCCCCCTCGCCCATCCGCATCACCGTCACGTTGGCCGCCCCCTCGCGCCGCGCGCGCGCCCGCATCGCGCGGATGGCGTCGGACCGGACCTCGAGCGCGACGATCTGGCTGGCGGGCAGCGCGGCCGCGAGGGGGAAGGTGAAGAGGCCGGTGCCCGCGCCGACGTCGAGCACGGCGCCGCCGGGCGGCAAGTCAGCCGCGAGGAATGCGGCAACCTTCGCGGGCTGCAGGTTCTCGACGCGGTGCTGGGCCTCGAGCGAGTCGGCGAGCGGCGCCGCGTTCGGGCGCATCGCGTCGGGCGCCTTGCCTGCAAAGGGGACGCAAGGGGGTGACACGGCAGTGGAGACCTCAGGCGCCGTCAGCCTCGACGAGGCCGTGTGTGCGTGTGGGTGCAGCGGCCATGCGGTCTGAATACGGCGTGTTCCAAACGGGCAAGCCGAATGCCGCATCTGCGGCGGCGCACCCGTCGTCGCGATCGCCTTCATCTCCTCCAGCCCGTTCATCTCGTGCACCACCTGCTGCACCTTGGCCGCCGACCCGCGCGACTCAAAGTAGGGCCACGCCGCCTCCATCCACGCCGTGTCGGCCATCGCCACGCGCAGCGGCCGCATCAGCGCCTCCTTGGCCTCGCCGCTCTTGCGCAGGAAGAGCGGCACGAGCACGTCGTGCACGTCGCGCGCGGAGAGGGCCGGCAGCCGCGCAGACCGCTGGTACCGCAGCAAATGCAGCAGCGCGCGGCCGCCGCCGCACGCCGCGTCGTCCGACGGGCTGCCCGAGAGGAGGCCGATCGCGGCGTGCAGCACCTACAGCCCAGGTGCTGCCCAAGTGCAGCCGAGCCGCGGCCGAGAGCTGGCCGGCCGCGGCGTGCAGCCGACGTACGTCGTGCGGGTCGTACAGCTCTGCGGACTCGTGCACCACCGCCTGGTTGGCGACGTAGCCGAGCAGCTGGCACGCGTCGTCGCGCGCCGCCTGCGCGAGCAGCGTCGTCGCCACGTTCGCGTTGAAGTCCTCCGACGCGTCGGATGGCTCGCGGCAGCCGAGCAGCCAGAGCGGGAGACCGAGCTCCGCGCCCGCGTCGATCGCCGCCTGAGTCCGCCCCATGCCGACGCGCAAGCAGCGGATGGCGCCGGCGGAGAGCGGCGGCCGCGCGACGCAGAGCGGGACGAGCGCCCGCCAGGCGCCGTGCCGCGTCAGCGCCTCGACCAGCTCGTCGTCGGCGGCCGCCTCGTCGGCGAGCCCGCGCGCGATCTCGCCGAGCGCGCGCGTGTCGCTCTCGGGCAGCGCGGCGACGTCGCGCAGCGGCCACTTGACCTCGTCGTCGTCGTCGTCGCCGGTCGCGGCGGGCGCTGCCCCCGCCGCACGGCGCGCGACCACGTACTCCTCCCGCACGGGCGCGTCGGCAGTCATCTTCTCGACCAGCTCGACGAGCCGCTTGGTCCTCTCCCGCAGCCCGAGCCGGCGGCGGCAGACCGCGGAGGTCATCGCGGTGCCGATGAGCCCGCGCGACGGCCCGTTGACGTCCTTGTTGCGCGAGTGCGCCTCGCGCCAAAAGGTCTCGGGCGCGCCCTCGACCGCGAGCAAGTTTGCGAGGGTGCCTGCGGGAAGGCTCCGAGAAGGTTCGCGGAGGCTCCTCGCCTCCTCGACCCAGCCGGGCGGCGGCGGTGCCCGTGTCGCGCATGTCCTCGAGGGCGGCGATGATGGCGACGTGCAGCCGCTGCGAGGACGAGTCGGGGAAGGAGAGCACGTGCATGAGCCCCTCCGCCGTCGCGGGGTCATGCATCACGCGCCGCGCCGACGCGCGCACGCCCATCGCACCCAACAGCCGCACCGCCGACCGCAGCACCTCGAGCGAGGTCGCCGCCTTTGGGACACATGCCAGGGACGTGTGGTCGCGGACACGTCGCTGCCAGGGTCGGCGCCGCGGGCGAGCCGGCCGCCTTTGCGCGCAGGATCGGCACCAGCTGCGGCACGTACTTGTCGAACGCGGACATGTTGGTCGGGCAGTCGCGCACGGCGGCGGCGACCGTCTCGAGCGCGGCGCCGAGCAGCTCCTCCTTGGCGCCTGGTGGCGGATTGGGGACGAATGAGCACTCCTTGGCCACTCCTCGCCGCGCCCCCCAGCTCCTCCTCGGCTGCCCTTTGGCATCGGGCGGAGGAGCGGCGCGAGGAGCGCGAAGCCGTTGGTCGCCAGCCGCACGTACACCTGCGCGTCGTGGTTGGGCGCAGACTCGTAGATCAGGCCGCCCGGCACGGCAGGGTCGTCGGTCGGCTTGGTCTTGAGCGAAGCGAGCAGCGACGGCAGCTGGCGCAGCAGCGACGTCACCTCGGACGCGGTGCCCTTGCGGCGGACGAGAGCCGAGAGCCGGCCGAGCAGCCCAGAGAGCTCGGAGAGCACGGCCTCTTTGCCCGACCGCGCGAGGGCGGCGACGCGGTACTCCTCCTGCTGCGCGAGCACCTGCTCTCGGCCCAACCCCGCGTGACCTCGGCGGACCTCAACGACGCGGCACTCCTCCCGCTGCTGGCACGACCACCTCCCGCGCGCCGGGAGAGACCTCGAGTGCGTCGCGCAGCGCCGCCTCCGCCGCACCCCACCGCTCCTGCGCGTGCAGCGCCTTGGCGCGGCGCACGTACGCCTTGACGAAGCACGGGTCGAGCTCGAGCGCGGCGTCGGCGTCACCCTCCGCCTCCGCGTGCTCGCCGAGCTGCAGCCGCGCCTCGGCGCGGTTGCCGTGCAGCACTGCGAGCAACTCGTCCGAGAGGCCGTGCGCGCCGCTGCACGGGGCCGGGGGGGGGTGGGGGTGGTCAGAGGAGGTGGGCCAAGAGAGGTGGGTCGGAGGAGTGGTCGGTGGTAGCTACAGCGGAGAAGAAGGGAGGTGCGGGGGGGGGGGGGGGGGGACAATGGCGGCCGGGGAAAGGTGGAAAGGAAAAAACGAGGCGACCGCCGCCTCCCTGGGAAAAAGGGCTCCAGAAAAACCCCCTGGACCCCCCCCCCGTCTCGAGGGCCTCGCCGTACCGCTGCACCGCGGCGGCGTGGTCGCCCTTCTTGAAGGCAGCGTTGCCTACGGCCGGGCGCCGCAGCCGCGTGAGCGTGTCCCGGTCTGCATATGCCCCCGGCTGCTTGGCCAGGGTTCGCCTTCGCGCTTGGCCGCCTCCACCGCCATCAGAGGCTCTACGTGCGCCACCCTCGGCGCGGGCGAAGACCCGTGCTCCTGGACCGCCCACCCCTCCTCGGGTGCGAGCTTGTCGGTGGTCTGGAAGCCGTAGTAGGCCTGTGGGGGGGGGGAGGTGAGAGGGGAGGGAGGTGAGAAGGGGAGTGAGGGAGGGAGGGAGGGAGGGGAGGAGGGAGGGGCGGCAGCCGGGAGGAGGAGAGGCGCGAGTGCGAGGGGCGGCGAGGAGAGGGCGGGGCTGCCTTGGGTGCGACGCCGACGATCCAGCCCTCGCCTCCACCGACGACCTGCCGAGAAGAGGTTGAATCTCACACCCTCTCCTCGCCTCGCCTCGCCTCGCCTCGCCTCGCCTCTCTCCTCTCCTCTCCTCTCCTCTCCTCGCCTCTCCTCGCCTCTCCTCTCTGCTCTCCTCTCGTCTCCACTCGTCTCGTCTCGTCTCGTCATCCCTTGCCGCCTCGTGAGAGAGGAGGAAGCCGCGCTCGTTGACGTACACGCGCGCCCCATTCTTCACCGCCGTGCCGTCCCGCATGTACGTCCCATTGGCAGCGGCCGTGCCCGCACCGCTCAGCACGTAGCACCAGGGGTCAGACTGCGCGATCCGCTCCGCCTTTGCGCCAGGCGGGAGCGGCGGTGAGGAAGGGCTGACGAAGCCGCCGCGAGGGTGGCAGTCGCGAGGGGCGTGGTGGCGAGCGAAGCATCGGAAGTGGGGAAGCGAAGCAAGCCAGCAGGCAGAGAGGCACGCGGCAGGGCAGCGGCTGTGCCTTTGCGGCGGCGGCGCGGCGCGCTTCCTCGTCGGCTTCGCGCTGCTTGTTGCGCGCCTCCTCCTCCATCGCGCGCTGCAGCGCTGCCATCTGCTCCTCCTCGCTCGCGCCCTCCGGCACCACGATGTTCCTCACTTCCTGCGGCTTCTCGTTGGTCACCTGCGGCAGAGGGCGGCGGCGGTGAGGGCGGCGGCGGCGAGGGCGGCCACCGTGAGTGAGGAGAAGAGGAATGAGCGAGTGGCCGAGTGAGTGAGAGAGGGGAGGAGAGGATCTAGGAGTGAGGAGAGTCTGCAGCGCGAGGAGGCATGTGACAGGCAGGGTAGCCGTGGTCGGGTCCTCGCACCTCGAGCTTGAACTTCTCACCACCGTGCGCGAGCTTATACTGCAGCTCGCGCACGCGCGGGTCGGACATCAGCCTCTCGACCTCCGCTGGAGATGGCTCGGCAGCAGCTGGCATCGAGGCGTGAGCGGAGATTTCCGGACCAGGGCAGGAGGGGAGCGCGCGCCCGAAAAGAATTTCCGGTTGCGGTATATTGTATATATTCCCACCCCTCGTTTGGCGTGTCCGTTGTATTTATTTATTTATTAGGTATATTGTGTTGTCTCTTTTCTTTCTTTCTTTTAACTGCACTTTCCAGAAATTTTTCTTTGTTTTCTGCTTACCGAGACAGATCTAACGTCAACGTCAGCGTCGACGCCGGTGTAAAATCGACTACACCACCGCCTTTTAGGACGCCTCGAGCCCCGCGTCGCGCAGCACGAGCAGTGCCGAGAGGCGGCGCTGCTGCTCCTTGAGCACGGCCGTCGCCGCCGCGAGCCGCTCTGCGCCGCTGCGCATGCCCAGCGCCTGCGCCCGCGCCGACGGCGAGAGGGTGGCCGACGCGGAGAAGGAGAGGAGCTGCCGCTGCGCCTGTGGGAGATTGGAGGGAGAGGGGAGCGGCTCTGGGGGAGAGGGGCGAGTGCACTGAGGGGCGGCGGCGAGCAGTGGCGGCGGCGAGCAGTGGCGGCGGTGTCCGCGGAGGAGGAGGCAGCGGCGGCGGCGCGCCTCCTCCTCGCTCTCCACGCCCCAGCCCGACGCCACCGCAGCGAGCAGGCTCTCGCGCGGCGGCGCGTCCTGCCCTGCGGAGCGCAGCACGCCGCTCCTCCGCTCCACGAGCGCCTAGCCAGCAGTGGAGACTGCGCCGTGCCGCCCCTCGCCGTGTCACGCTCCTACGCGCGTGGCCGGGATCTCGCGCCCTCGCGGTCGAGCCCCCCCCTGAAATCTCGCTCCAATCTCAATCTCGGAGCAATCTCGCACCTCGAGGCCGAGCCCCGCCTCCTCGCTGCCGTCGCGGACCTCATGTCCCCACTCCACGCGCGCCTCGCGCCCTGTCGCCTCCGCCACAGCGGCGCCCTCGCCAGCCTTGGTGAGCCGCTCCTCCATCTCCCTCACCGAGGCGTGCAGCTCTCTCAGCTCGGCCGCCGCCGCGTCGTCCTCTGCTCGCTCCTCGGTCGGTAAAGAGTCGGTAAAGAGCTCCACCCCGCCAGAGAGGTAGTCAAACTCGGTCGTCTCGAGCTCCTTGAGCTTCACGCGGCCGACGCACTTCAGGTTCGCCCAGACGCCAATCTCCTCGGCGCCGGTCCGAAACTCCTCAATCTCCAGCAGAGACGTGACCGAGGCCACATTGCCCTGCGGCGTGAAGAGGACGGCGCCGAGGCAGTCGTGGTGCTTGGATGCCGCCTCGGAGAAGAGCGTGATGAAGCGCGCCTCGTACAAATGGACCTGCCGCGTCTCACCGGGCAGCAGCGCCTGGTCGAGCGGGAATGGCAGAAAGCCGAGCTCGAGCGGACTGCCGGCTGCGAGCCACTCGGCTGCGCCCATGCGTGGAGCCGCGCGGCGAGGCCCGCCGGGCGCACAGCGAGGCCCAGGCGCGCAGCGAGGCCCAGGCGCGCAGCGAGGCCCAGGCGCGCAGCGAGGCCCAGGCGCGCAGCGCGGGCGTGCCACCGCAGAGGAAAGGAGAACTGCCAGCATATGTCCGATAACCAAGGGCAGCAGAGAGCGTGTAGGTGGACCCCTTCGCGCCTGTGTGCTTGTGCGCCCAGCTCGTGCGCCCGCGTTTTTTTTCGCTTCATCTATCTAGGGAACGCCTCTTCGCATACACCCCTTCTCACAACATGCACATGTGCATGCACATGTGCATGTGCATGTAGTGTTCGGAATCCCCCACGGCCACCCAAGAAGGAAGAAAAAGGGCGACACGGGCCCTGCCGGCGGCTCACGACACACGAGTGAAACGATATCAAGAGAGACAGTCAGACAGACCGCGCCGCCCGCTACTATATTATCTGGCCCTCCCTCGCCCAGGCGCGGGCCAGGCACAGGGAGAGCAACGAGGCGACCGCGGCCAGGCCCGCGCTTAGCCTCGAAGGCGGTTGTAGCAAGCGACTCCATACGTCCATAGCACTCCCTGGCGCCCGGCGCCGTGTGCTCGCGGTATGCGGCATCCTCTATGGGCGCGAGCATGAAGCCGCCGATGGCCGACGCAACCATCAGTGTCGACCGGGTCTGCCCAAACGACGCGGATCCAAACTCGTCGTCGACGATGAGCGGGGTCAGGCACCACGTCGCGCCAAAGCAGCAGCCGACGATCACGGCTCCCACTTCGACCGACTGGAGCTCGAATACCAGAAAGGCGTTGACGCCAGTCATGGTCACTGCGGCGAGGAACAGGAAGCCGGTCCTTGAGATGCGGCGCTCGAAGCGGTCGGAGAGGCCGCCCGACGCAACCCTCGACACCGCGCTCGCCACCGGCCAGAGCAGGGTCACCTTTGCGGTGGCTGAGGTCTGGCCGAGAGCGGTGTCGATGAAGCTGACGTTGTTGATGAACAGGAGGGCATTGGCGACCCAAAGATGGCTAAGAGGCCCCAAAAGGGGGCGCGACACAAGGGGTGGCGAAAGCGCGGAGCCGCCACTTTGCTCGCGCCAACGCCTCCCTCCAGTCCACTGCCGCATCCATCCAGTGTACCGCTGTCACGTGCACTGGCGTCGCCGGCTGGAGGTGCGTGTATGGCTGATGGCCCAGCAAGCTGACGCCAAAGAGGCACCCTGCGACGAGGAGGAAGAAGCTGCCAACGCGAGGTGAGAAGTGGAGCGCGTAGATGGCGCTGAAGAGAGCTGGCGAGAGGCCAAACGCGCCGTCGAGTACCCCTATCACCTTGCCGCGGTTGGCGGGCAGGAAGCCCTTGTAAGCGGCAATCGCAGACATGTAAGCGAGCGAGGAGCTCTGGCCGACAAGTACGAACATCGCCGCCGTCGCCTCGAAGGACCGGGCGGGCGATTCAAGCGACTTGGCGGTGGCGGTGGCGGTGAGGATTGCGGCCACCAGAGCGCCGGTCCGCGGTCCGAACCTGTCCACGAAAACACCAATGTGCGGCCCGACGCAGAAGCCCAGGTTTGACGCCTCGGCGAGCAGTGACACCTCGCTGTCTGTCAAGTGCTTGACTCGCTTCACGTCGCCACCAAAGGCCGTACACCATGCCACACACCAGGAGCATCGCCACTGCAGAGGCGAGCGACATCGCCGCCGCCTGCGGACATCGCCGCCGCCTGCGGTTTCGTGACCTGCCGCCACCTGCTCCAGCTTTGGACGTGCGTCCCTGCAGCGTTAGTGCCGAAGCAGAAGCGTTTCACTTTTGAACCAGAAGAAAAACTCGGAAAAAGATCCTACGGGAATGTACGTAAGAGCCACATACACTGAAAAAGAAAAATCGTGCGGGGGACCAGCTCGGCGAACAAACGGGAAGGCGGCGTTTTTGACCGCTGACATTGAAGCAGTGATCCGCCTCCTTCTCTCCGCTCCATGCCGCCACCAAAGGGCCCGAAGCCGAGCCACTCCTTCCTCCGCAAAAGGAAGCAGGAGACTGGCTATCTTCAGGCGGTCACGCCACCGGAGGGTTTGCCGACGACGACGCCTAAATCGCGGAGCCTCGCACCAAAATCGAGGGCCTTCTCGCCTGGCGGCGGGTTTGGGGGGGGGCAAGGAAAACCTTCCGAGGGCCCACTGGACAGCCTCCGCACCATCCCTCCGGGGCCGGCGCCGCTCGGTATGCTGGGTGTGATGGCGCTCATAGTCATCGGCACCGTCGTCTCGCTCTCGGGCGTGACGCAGGTCGGCGACGACGTCGCCTTCGTCTACCGAAACTTCCCGTCGCAGAACCTGACCTTTGAAGACGTCAACAAGAAGTTTGTCGAGATGGCCGAGGCGATTGACGATGCGGTCGACCCGTGCGAGCAGGAATGCCACATGCCCACCCCGGCCCTCGCCTCAGGAGCCCACCCCACCCTGCCTCCATGGCCTCAGGAGCCGATCCACGAGGACTACGTCTCCACCTGCTTCCTGCGCCGCATCCTCCCTCCGCCCAACGAGATGTTGTACCACTACCTCCGGCTCGCGCAGCCCTTCTGCTGCCTCGCCGCCCTACTCACGCTCGTCCGCGCCAGGCATCACTGCCGACCACACCTCGCCACTGCACCCTCGCCGCACTCCCTCCCCTCTTGCCTGTGCAGGCACGCCCGGTCGCTCTACGTTGGCGAGGCGAGCTCGACGGGCAATGACGGCAAGCTTCACGCGACGGAGGTGCTCTACACCCTCGGCGTCAGTGCGATGGAGCTGCTGGCGGTGTGCGGCGACCGCCGAGCACCGGGGAGCGAAGCGGGAAGCGGCGATCCGACTGGTTCCCCTCTCTCCTCCCGTAGGTTGTGGCCGCCTTTACAATGCTCGCGAGCGGCTTTGTCATGTTCCGGGTGCCCGTGCCACACTTCCACCTCCCCTCCGTCCAGATCCGAATCACGACCCGCCCCCACAGCCCCCTCCAGCCTCCCGCACATCTCCGCATCTCCCCACGCCCTCCGTGTGCGGTGACAGGTGCTTGTGATTCCGAGCCGCGCGTCGGAAGTTTGCCACATGACCTTTGACCTGATGGGCGAGTCGCTGTACAACGACACGGCCGGCGGGATCGGGGGCTTTGCTAACGCCACGGCGCCACCACCCGCATCACTCCCGCCCGGCCGCACCCCATGCCTCTGTGCCTCCACGGTCGGTCGCACCGCTACGCCCGGCGCACCCCCACGGATCCGCGCCCCGTCCGCGCCAGGTGGACAAGCTGCAGCTCTTCTTTGACGACCGCGAGGCGCTGCTCACCATTCCGTCCACCCACTCTCCCCTTATTGAACGAGTCCCTTGAGCCGCCCCCCCTTCCTCCCCTGGGTGCCTGCCAGGCGTCGCTCAACTCGGACATCGACCTCAACACATCGCTCCGCCACATCGGCTCTCTCGTGCCCGAGACGCGCGCCCGAGGTTGCGTCGAGACTGAGCCGAGATCGAGCCGAGTAGGCTCGCTCGGCCCCGACGCTCGGCCCGGAGGCTGCGTGGCGGTGCGTAAGCTCATCGGGTGTGGCCGCCTCGCCTCCAAGGTGCGCTCCGCCTCCCTCGCCTCCGCCTCCCTGGCCTTCCTCTCCCTCGCCGCCACCACTGCTCGCCGCTTGTGCCATTGCCTACCCGCCTCCTCCAAGCCACCCGCCTCCTCCAAGCCCACTGACACCGCGCCCGCCGCCATCCCTCGCTGCGACGCCCGCGACAGCACACGCCCGCAACACGCTCACGACAGTCACGACGCGCCCACGGCATGTGCCGACAGGTCTGCCACCAGCTTCCGGGCGTGATGAACACGCTGTACTGGGCCATCGCGACGCCCGCGCAACGTCAGCCTCCCCGGCTCGGAGGGACGCGTCCACGACGCGTCCCGTAGGTCGCGCCTGACGCCTACGTCGACCTCGGTGACCTCGGCCCGGTCTGCGACAAGGGCGAGGCTGTGGTCGACACGGTACGCTCCCCTCCACCCTCGAGCCCTCGCCGCTGCCCTCTGTTCCGCACGCTGCCCTCTCTGCTCCTCACGCCCTCGCCCCATCGCCCTCGCCCCACCGACCTCGCCCCACCCTCGAGGGAGCGTGCTCCCCGCCACACGACTGACTGCACACTCCTGTCTGCGCAGGCCGCGCTGATGTGCGACAACGAGACGGCGCGCTTGGTGGGCGGCAGATGCCCGACAGACATTCGTCCACATCCTTGCTGCAGCTCTCTCCCGACAGCACACACGCCCTCGACCGTTCCCGCTTCCCCCCACCCGCAGAGCATCGCCACCATGGCGGAGGAGTACGAGCTGCAGAAGCGCGAGCTCCTCGACACGGCATTCTCGTACGCCATGGACCAGATCGGGCCGATGGTGCACGCGTACATCATGTCGCAGGCCAACGGCACCTTCCCTAACGCGACGGAGCTGCGCGAGATGCTCAACGGCACCGCCCGGATCGAGGAGATGCGCCCGATCTGCGACGATGTGGCCTACATCGAGATGGGCGTCATCCGCTGGTTCGTCGGATCGCTCATCGTGCTGCTCTGTGCCGTCCTCTCCTTCGCCTACTGGGGCGACTACACCAACTTCGTCATGCTGTGGGAGGCGGACGCCGTCTCGAAGAACGTGCCCGCCGGCGCGGTGCTCGCCGGCGGCGGCTTCGTGCTCGGCGGCCTCCTCCTCTACAGCGGTCTGATGGTCTTCCACGCGGCCCTCGCGGCGGTCGAGGAGTCGGTCTTCTCGGTCGAGGAGGAGCTCGACCTGCTCAACGGCACGATTTCGTTGGAGTACACCACGCTCGAGCTCGTCAACGGCTCGTACGCGAACGTCACCCACACCGTCAGCGGCCGCCAGGCCGACTTCATCCACTCAAAGATTGTCCAGGTCGTGGGCCTCGTCGTTGGGGTGCTCGTGGCCGCCGCGGCCCTCGCGGCGCAGCACGGCATCGCGGCGCGCGACCGGTACGACTCGTCGGGCAAGGTGACCGAGTCGCTGACGGACAAGTACCTGCCGAGCTTCTTGGCGGGCCCGCTCGAGCTGCTCATCTACGTCGGGCGGCTCCTCAAGGACGTCACCGCGGTGCTCATGACCGGTGTCCTCCTCCTCGCCGCGTACGCCGTCCTGAAGGTGAACCTGCTCCAGAAGAAGGACCCGCAGATCGTGAACCTCCTCACCAAGAGCGCGATGGAGCAGCCCCTCTGCGGCGCGCTGCAGCAGCTGCCCTTCACGCCGCTCGTCGAGGCGGCCGGCCCGCTCGCTTCCTCGGACAGCTTCGTCTCCGGCTTCGAGGCCATCGGCCGCTTCTCTGCGGAGGCGGGGCCGCACTAAGAAGCCACCCGAGCAGACGTCTCTAGGCGGACAGCGCCGCACCCTCCCGCGCCACAGGAGGGCTGGCCCGACGCATACCCGTCCTCGCGCCTCGTCAAGGACCGCGCCGTCCGAGGCATGCTCAAGCAGATCCTCTCGACGGTCGACATCCACGACATGTGCGAGAAGACGCTCAACGTGTCGGAGTCCGTCTACAAGTCGGCCTACACCTGCGTCAAGCTGCCGTACACGATCGACACCGTGGTGTGGCTCTCCTCCACCATGGTCTCCGAGAAGGACCCCGCCCTGCAGTGCCCGGCCGGCGGCGACGGGCCGACCGGGTCGGAGCGGATGGCGGTGTTCGCGTCGGGCCTCCACGATCTCGAGGGGCCGTGCGACGCCACCATGGAGTGGGTGTCCAAGTGGGAGCACCTCTGCCAGCTGGTGGACCCGGATGCCTTCGACGAGGACGACCCCGCGCTCTCGTACGGCTTCAACGTCTTTGGCTCCCTCGGAGGCCTCGGCAGCATCTTCGGCCTTGGCGGCTCCTACTACCAGCCGCCGGACGTCGACAGCGGCGACCTGGACTACGACGACTCGTACGGCGAGTACATGGCGGAGAAGAAGGCGGGTGCCGTGGCCAAGCACCAGCGCAAGGAGTCGATGGCGCTGCTCGACGTGATCCGCGCGACGGTCGCACGGGCCGCTCGGCGGCCCTAGGCTCGAGAGCGTGTGGTGAGACGCGTGCCGTGACTGCCGGTCTAGGTCGAGCTGCTCAAGGCGTCTAAGGAGTCGTACGAGGCGACGCGCCCCACTCACACCCCCGAGTCACAAGAGGAGGCGTGGCAGGATTGCGAGAGGCGTGACGTTGCTGCTCATAGGTGATGTACCCGGGCCAGGCGGAGAAGATGGCGGACCGGATGCTCACGTTCGACCGCACAGACGCTCTGCACTTGGTCAACATGACGGCCGGCTTCGACGCCGACGCTGGCATCGCGTCTGTCTGCGAGACCGTCTACGGCATGCAGTGGGCCCTCGTCACCGTCTTTGCCGGCTGCCTCACCCTCTTTGGCGTGGCGTGCTACGTCTTCTACCTGCGCACAAAGTACTACCTGATGGAGACGCTCGCCGACCTCAAGCGCGCCTCGCCGCCCCGGAGGAGGCGAGGATCGCCCCGAGACTGCGTGAGATCACGCCCCTTTTGCCTCCCACCGCGTAGGCTCGAGCTCATCGAGTACTTCGACGTCGACAACGACGGGCTCGAGGCGTCGGAGCTCGCAGGCAAGGCGGGCATGAAGCAGGTCATGGCGGCGGAGCTCGCCTGAGCTCGCGCTGCGGGGGGCGGTGCGCAGCTCTCGTCGTCGGCGGCGGCGGCGTCGCCGCTTCCTGGCATATACGCCATGGAGAAGTTTGTTCGAGACCTCGGGAGCGGCCGCGGCTATTCACACCTCGGCAGTGTGGTCTGGGCCGGGCAGGGCAGTGTGGGTTTCACACCCGGTGCAGGTAGGGGATCGGGCAGGGCAGTTGTGCGGCAGTGTGCGGGCAGGGCAGTACGGCAGGGCAGGGCAGGGCAGTTGGGGTCATAATTGCAGGGCTGAGATTCGGGATCTCAGGTGGTGAAAAAAAAGGGGAGACAATTGCTGTGAACATGGAATTTGAATAACAATCTCAGTGAGATGTGTGAACATGACGGCCGATCGACGAATTACACGCGCGAGCTGGCGAGCTCATATCTGCATCTCAATCTCAAATCTCAGGGGGTCGCCGTGTGTATCCTTGATGCGTGACACTGCACTACGACTACTCCTCGTCCGACGAGTACTCCGTCTCGCCCTCCCACGCCACGACGGCGTGGGACAGAAATTTTGGATTCCTTGGTCGACCCCCGCAAGCCGGGCAGTCTCGACAAGACGAAGGAGGCCTGGCCCCACGCACCTGAGCACTGCCTGTGCGTGCCGCGTCGCCCCAGTCGCGGGCCTGGCGTGGGGTGGGAGAGGGTCTGTATACGTTTGTGAGGGAGGATGTGTAGCGTGTAGGTTGCCAAGTTAGACGCGCCGGTGAATGCCTGTGGGGCTGGGGGGAGCGTCGTCTGTCAGTGTGTCACACACATGTTTTCATTTATCATGTTCGATTCCCTTCACATAAACGCACAACCCCCGGGCCCGAAATCGCATTCCCTTCACACCACTTGGCACTTCGCACAGAGCCACAGAGCACACACAGTCGACATATTTCAGATCTATTACAGTTGTAGTGCGAGGCAAGTGGATGCAAGCTAGCGGAACGAGTCGCTTTACACGGTGGGTGGGTGTGTGTGTGTGGGGGGGGGGGGGGAGGGGGGGGGGGGCACCTGCCTGCTGGCTCGGTGTCTAGCCCATCGTCCGTGCACTGCCCGCGCATGTGTGCATCAAACGCTTAGGAAAAGAAATTCTGGAAAGAAAAGTTTTACAACAAAACTCACCACACTAGGCACGGGACTGGCGCGCACTGGCACTAACACAGGTACACAACGGAGCCCACAACTCCATCAGAAAGAAAAGAAACCGCGTGACAGCTCCGCTTCTCAGCAGCGTCGCCGATAAGAGCTGTGGCCATGAAGCCGCCGCCCTTTGTCGCAGCCTTCTCCGAGCCGAACACGTGCGTGCTCCTTCCCGCGAGCGCTGCTAGTGCATCTCTCTCTCTCTCTCTCTCTCTCTCTCTCTCTCTCTCTCTCTCTCTCTCTCTCTCTCTCTCTCTCTCGCCTCGCTGCTAGCCCTCGGCGACGGTCGCTGATCCGACCCACGCTCCCTGCGCAACCGAAGCGCCTCTTCACTGCCGCCGACTAGACTTTGTGCCCCGGCATATAGCTTCCGTGCCGCCACTACCGCTCCGTGCCCGCGCCGCCTGCGTGGCCGCGCCGCCCGCGGCTCACAAAAGATGCGCTCCACCCCTGCAGGATCAAGGAGCAGCAGCAAGCGTTCCAGGCGCTGAAGAAGGCAGCGGGCAACACGCACACCGCCAAGGGCGGCATCGCCAACATGGGCGTCCTGGTGCTCGGCGTCGTCGGCTTCCTCGCCACTGCCAAGGGGCTGTACAACATGCAGCGCGGCATCAACAAGTACCCCGCCCCTGCTGACTAACAGCAGGGGAGCTGCGACCTCCGGGACTGATATCCCGCCCGCCTTTCGTATGCGCGTACGTGTGCTGCATGCTTAGTCGACTAGAGCGGCCGTGTGGGGGGCAGGCGGGGGTGGGCGGGCCTATGCGCGGCACCACTCGAGCCGCACCCACACACCGCACACGCCGCAGCGGGGCCCGCCTCAGCGCCTCGACGGCTTTTTATTTTTATTGTCTATTGACACGTCCTATTCTCGCTAGTTGAGATGGGTAAAACAGGAGCAGCAGCAGCCCCCCCCCCGCGGCGCGGCGCGCGCCGCCCGCCGCCATGCGTTCCGCGCGCTATATGGCCTACGGCTTTATGCGGCGTGCAGGACTGGCTCGCTGCATAGATCGTTCGTATATACATACATACAATATAGAGAGAGACACGCACACGGGGCACGGGGGGGGCCGCTCACCCGCTCTCACTGAGCTGGGACAGTCAGAATCAGTGTCTGAGCCGCGTGTTGCACGTCGCTGTGGCGGCCCGGGGGGGGGGGGGGGGGCTCGACCTTTGTCCCTTCAAATAATTAAACGATAGAGAAGTCCTGCTCCGAGCAGGCCGAGCAGAAAACAAACAAGGGACTCATCTCGTCATCTCAACATCATCAGCGCACCGACGCACCACCGCGCCGGGCGCCCACAAGTACAGTAAACACAACAACCCCCCCCCCAAATCAACGGCAGAGCCCACGTCGGCACGAGACGTAGGCACACAAGAGCCAGGAGAGGGTCAACCATACACCAGCACGAGTACCGAGAACGAGGAAGGGCCACCAGACGACCAGAGAGGCCAGCGGCGGAGCGCTCAGTGCCCAAACAAGGGACTCATCTCGTCATCTCAACATCATCAGCGCACCGACGCACCACCGCGCCGGGCGCCCACAAGTACAGTAAACACAACAACCCCCCCCCCAAATCAACGGCAGAGCCCACGTCGGCACGAGACGTAGGCACACAAGAGGCAGGAGAGGGTCAACCATACACCAGCACGAGTACCGAGAACGAGGAAGGGCCACCAGACGACCAGAGAGGCCAGCGGCGGAGCGCTCAGTGCCCAAACAAGGGACTCATCTCGTCATCTCAACATCATCAGCGCACCGACGCACCACCGCGCCGGGCGCCCACAAGTACAGTAAACACAACAACCCCCCCCCCAAATCAACGGCAGAGCCCACGTCGGCACGAGACGTAGGCACACAAGAGGCAGGAGAGGGTCAACCATACACCAGCACGAGTACCGAGAACGAGGAAGGGCCACCAGACGACCAGAGAGGCCAGCGGCGGAGCGCTCAGTGCCCAGTGCGCAGAACGGCGGAGCGCTCAGTGCACAAGAGGCAGGAGAGGGTCAACCGTACACCAGCACTGGCGGGGCGCAGGGCTTGGTCTTTTGCTGGCACTCGACCGCGTGGAGCGAGGGCGCGTTCCTCGCGCCCGCAAAGTCCGCCGTGTCGAAGCCGACGACGGAGCCCCACACGGCGCCCGTCAGGTCGGCGTCCTGCGGTGTGGCGAGCCACAGGGGAGGGTGAGAACAAGGGCCGCCGGAGGGAGACGCGAGAAAGGGCAGGGCCGTGCGGTGCACGCTCGGCGTGTACGCCGGCGTCTGATCGCGGGTGGGATAGAGAGTGCGTGTAGCGGACCTTGAACGACGCGCCGGTGAGGTCCGCCTCGAATAGGACGGCGCCTGATCTCGCGCATCGAGGTGTGACCTCCCTCTTCCCTCCCTCTCCCTCGCTACCCTCGCTACCCTCCCTCTCTCGCCGCCACAGGCCCACGTCGGCACGGAGAGAGGGTAGAGAGGGGCGGGGGGCGCTAGGGCGTTGTGGAAGCGCGCGGCCAGCGGGGACGAGACAGCAGACCGGGAGGGAGATACGGACCGGGAGGGAGGGCGGACCGGGAGGGAGGCGCGCGCCTTTGAGGCTCGCGCCGTCGAAGCTCGCTCCGCGCAGGTCCGCAGTGGTGAGGTCGGCGCCGTTAAAGGACGCCTTTGGAGCGTTGGCATTGGCGAGGTTCGCCAGCCTGCGGGACGACACGAGGGGGGTAGTGGAGGCGCGCGCCCATGCGGCGCCTGCAAACCTCGACTGGCCCATGAGTTCGAGAATGGGGAGGGGGAGGGAAGAGGCCCGAGCAGGCGGCACGCCGGCCCTCCAAGAAAGAGGATGTGCGCGCCCAGCATCTAGACTCGCGGGCGTGAGGGTGGCGTTGAAGAACTTGGCGTCGTCGAGCTTTGCGTTCACCTGGCGGGCGAGCTCAGGTGGCGTCGGGAGGGGCAGGGCAGAGGGGCGGGGCATGCTGAGTAGGGCATGTGTGTGTGTGTGTGTGTGTGTGTGTGTGTGTGTGTGTGTGTGTGTGTGTGTGTGTGTGTGTGTGTGTGTTGAGCCGAGCCCACCAGCACAGCATCGTAGAGAGATGCGCCCTGCGCGCCAAAGGAGGGCGCCACTCAGACGCAGCCGAGCAGCCGAGAGGCAGCCGAGAGGCAGCCGAGAGGCAGCCGAGAGGCAGCCGAGAGGCAGCCGAGAGGCAGCCGAGTCACGGTTCGAGAGGTGGGCCTGCCTGCAGGTCTGCTCCGATGAGGGAGGCGTCGGTCAAGTCTGCGTTGTTGAAGACCGCCCGCCGCGCGATCGCCCCCTCGAAGTAGGCTCCTGCGGGGCGGAGGGGTGCTGCCGGTGCTGGCACCGCCGCACGGGCGGGTGTGGAGGTGGGTGGGAGTCGAGGAGTCGGGGAGGCTGCCCAGTGTGGCGGTGGGGGTGCCGGTGGGTGCGCCGAGGAGGCTCCAGGAGGAGGGATGCCGCACACCCCGGAAGGACGTCTCGCTGCCGAGCAGGCCGACCAGGACGGCAAAGGAGAAGCGCGCGAAGTCGGCGTTCGACTTGGAGATGTCGGTTCCTGCGAAGCGGCATCGCAAGTCAGTCACCAGACGACAGCAGTCCAACACCCGCCCGCAGGGGCTTGTGCCGCTCATCGTGAACTCCGCAAAGTCGCAGCGAGACCAGTCCCCGGCCTGCATGTTGAGGGCGTGCGTGCAGCGGCCAGCCGACTTGGCGCCCGCCGCAGCCACGCGAAGCGGGCCTCGGAAGGCGTTCCGCGAGAGTGGCGTCACCTTGACCGAGCAGCTCGCGTCGCCTGGATGCGAGAGTCGACAGGCTGGCGAGCAGAGACAGGGAGAGGGAGAGGGAGCGGGATCGCGCCTTGCTTCGGCGTCGCCCCTGTGGGCGGAGAGGTGAGCAGGCTGCAGCGCGGGTAGCCGCTGTACGACGTGAAGCTGGTCGCCCAGCACCGCTTGTCATCCTGACACGCCACCTGCGACGAGGCAGGCGCGGCGGTGACACCTCTCTGCCTCTCCGTGTCGGGCGGAGAACGAGCGGCGATGGCGGCGGTGGGGGCGAGACGGCTGGAGGCGGGGGCGAGAGCGGCGGCATGCCGGACGGCGGCGGAGGCGAGGCCGGCGGCGGAGGCGAGGGCGGCGGCGGCGGAGGCGGGCGGTGGTGGCGAGGGCGGCGGCGAAGACGGCGGCGGGGAGGGCGGCTGCGGCGGTGGTAGTGCGAGCGGTGCCTGGCAAGCCTCGAGCGTCTCGTGCCCCCATGACACGCGTGAGGGCGCGCCGCTAGTAGCGAGGATGCAGTCGCCAGGCACGCTCACCCAAATGACGTGCAATCCGGTTGGCGCGCCGTCAGCTACAGACTGCGCTTTCGCCGCGTATGCAGCAGCAGCAGCATGAAGAGGATTGCGGCGGCCGCGCGTGGAATGGGAGACGGAAGCGACATACTCGGGGAGGACAATCACACGAGACCGGCGAGGCGCCGAAATTGAATCCCACGTGCATCTCGCGTGCGTTACAATCCTCTTCGTCAGCACTGGGTTGGCGCGATTTCTTCTTTACCGTAATCAACAATCGAGAGTGTGTGCCGCCAAGGCGGGACCACTCGGGGACAGTGCCGACGGGACGCGGCTCGAAGGGCGTGGCTCCGCAGCACGACTGGCACTCGTCGCAGAGGCCTCGCATTCGACAAGTCGGGAACGGCTCTACCCGCAACTTTCTCGCTAACACGCGCGCACCGCCGAGCCTGGGGCGGGCGCGCTGCGGCCGCACGTCTAACTTCGTCATAGTGCCACGACGTGCGGCCTAGATTTAGCCCACGCGCCTCTGCTCGCAAACACTCACCCATTTGATTGTCACTGTCCGTGAGTGCGAGAGAAGGCTAGCCGCAGGCAGCTAGCCCGTGAGGAGAGCGTCCATAGACACCTCACTTAGACCCCACACACGGTCTCGTCTGTGCCTCGCCGGCCGGAGAGATTGCTAGAGGTGGAGCATGCTGCTCTAGCCTCACATGTCACTTCATGTCGTCTGTTGTTTGAGTTGTGCCCTTGTTTGTGCCCTTGGCACCGTGGAGTGCTGGGGGGGGCGACAGGGAGGATGTGGCCTTGAGTTATGTGTACGCCGACTCAGGGTGTGTGGCAGCCAGCTGGCTGTGTGTCTTGTGAGCTTGTTTGTGTCTGTGTGTCGCTCGTGCGTGTCGTCATCATCTGTCTAGCGTCCACCCATACCGCGTTGGTGCATAGCGGGTGGGGAGGCCCTAAAACGGCGGGAGGGGTAGGGCTATATCGATAGAGCTAGAGGGCTCAACCACCCCTCCACCCCTCCACCCTCCACCCCTCCACCCTCCCGGAGCGAGAGGGGTCCGTCCTCGAGCCCTCCCACTTCCACCCCTCCGACCAGAGGGCTCGCCAGCCCACAGGGCTGGAGGGCGACAGAGGGGTCCCCGTCGGATCGGCGTCGGGAGGGCTCCACAGGGTCCCATAGGGCTAGCGCGCTGGGAGGGTGGAGCGGTCCACCGGGGAGAGGGGTCAGGAGGGCTGGGCGAGGCGGGAGGGGTGGTGGGGTCCAGGAGGGCTCGCCGCCCCCCCGAGCTCGGGTGATAGGCAAGAGGGCTCGGGCGCCGGGTGGGCTCGGAGGGACGGTCGGACAAAGAGAGGATCTTCGTGGCGGGAGGGCTCGAGAGGGGTCGGAAGGGCCTCCGGGAGGGGTCGCAAAAAAAGAATGGCGCGGAGCTTCCGAGAGTGCCCGCCACGAGAGGGTTAGAGGGGTCGGAGGGGTTTAGAGGGCTGGAGGGCTGCAGGCCTGCTGCCGCCCATGGACGCGGGTCAACCGGCGACGGCGCCCGTGATCGAGGGACCGGCGACGGCGAATGAGCTGGTCTCTGCGCCGCACGACTTCACCCACGTTCGCGACTGTGGCCATCCAACAGTCTGCCGGCGCGGCGGGCGCATTCGAATGCGCCGGCCGCGCCGGCAGACTGCCAGTGCTATCCGGGCGGGCCTGCTGCGGCAGGGCGCTGCAACGCCGCCGCCTCGCCGCCACAGCAGCGCCGCCCCCGCATGGCTGCCGCCAGCAATGTCGCCGCCAGCCGCCGCCCCCAGCCGCCGCCGCCAGCTGCCGCGAGCACTGCAGCGACAGCTCTGCTGCCCAGGCGCCGCCGCGGCCACGAGTGTCACCGCCACGAGTGCCGCCGCCGTCAGCGTCGCCATGGCCGCTGCCGCCGCCAGGCGGGCGAGCGAGGAGCTCCATGTGTGTGTGTGTGTCTGGAGGCTGTGGCGCTTCCGTTTTAGCGGAAACCCCAGGTATTTCGAATACCAAACGCGCTTCGTGTTTGCCTTGAGGAGCGCAGCGACGAGTCCGTAAGGAGCGGCCCCAGCTTGCTGGGTGCGGCGCCGCCGCGCGCCGTATCGAGAGACTCTGTCGGGGCAGGTTAAAATAGCGCCGCAGGCTCCCCGGGCCTCATGATGTGTATTGCACCACTTCCGTATGCCTGCAGGGTATCTTTAACCGAGCCCTCCGAGCCCTCCGAGCCCTCCACACCCCTCCACACCCCTCCGACCCCTCCGACCCCTCCGACCCCTCCGACCCCTCCGACCCCTCCGACCCCTCCGACCCCTCCACACCCCTCCGCGAGCCCTCCGAGCCCTCCGACCCCTCCGACCCCTCCGACCCCTCCGACCCCTCCGACCCCTCCGAGCCCTCCGAGCCCCCCGAGCCCGGCTCGGTGGCTCGCCCCTCCGAGCCCTCCGGGCACTCCATCCCTCATGAGCCCTCCCGAGCCCTCCCGAGCCCTCCAGCGCCACCCTCGTGCCTCTCTGCCCTCCGAGCCATCCGAGCCCTCCGAGCTCTCCACCCCTCCCGAGCCCCACCCCTCGCGCTAGGGACCCTCTTGCCGGACGACACCCTCCGAGCCCTCCAAGCCCTCCAAGCCCCCCGAGCCCTCCAGACCCCTCCATCCGCACAGCCCCTCCGGCCCCTCTAGCCCCCTCCGACCCCTCCAGCCCTCTCTAGCCCTCTGGACCCCTCCTACGCCTCGCTTTTGGCCAGCCCTCCAAGCCCCCACCCCTCCTGGGCCCTGCCGCCTGACACCTCTATCGGTGGAGGGCTTTAGGTCACGGTCCACACTCCCGCCCTCCCGACCCCTCCACACCCCTACAGCGGCACCCCTACCCCTCCCGCCGTTTTAGGGCTTGCCCACCCGCACTCCGTTGGTGTCCAGTCCGAGCCTGGCTGTTCTTCACCTTTCTACCTACCTACCTAATCAACAAGCAAAAGAAAAGCAACGAACGGCTTCTTGTCCTCGGCGTGGGGGCTGCCCGCGCCGCCTAGCTCTGCAGACGGGCCCTCCAGCCTCCACCCTTCCCTGTACTCGTAATCAACTAATCATGTAGTCCCCGCATTCGCAATCGTGGGATCGCTTGTCATGTGATGTGCGTTGTGTCCCCGCCGGGCTTTCTCTCTCTGTATTTATGGGTCAGCGACGTCAAGAGAGAAGAGAGTGCTTGCTCTCTCGTCAAGAACAAGCAAGCGGCAGACGTCCTCTTACCCTCGGCCCCAGTGGGGGGCGCCCACGCCGCCTAGCTCTGCGGACGGGCCCCACCCTTCACGTACGGTTCATTTAGTCCTCACACTCGCTGTCGTGGGATCGCGTCATGTGACAGAGTGCGTTGTGTTCTCGTTTTGTATCCATGATGTGATGGAGTGCGTTTGAACTCGACGCTTTCTCTTTACAGGCGCCACCTTGGCCGCCATTATTGTCATCCATGATAGACCATCCCGCGTCCTGGAGCTGGCGGTGGCGCGCAGTGGCGGTCGTCGCTGCTACAGCCTGCTCCTTGGCTGTCGCCTTGCCAGCCGTCGTGAGGTTGCCAGGCCGGCTGAGCGCCCAATTCTCCACCCACACGGCGGCAGCTGCCGCGGCAGGACCAACCACTGCTTTCGAGGATGGAAGCTCCGCCGCTGCAACGCCGGGGCCGTTCAACAAATCCACGCCACACAGTGCGTCTGGCTACGCCGCGAGAGGGTTCGGGAGCTACGGGTGGGAGCAGCCGTCGTGGGCTGCGGCAATGCAGCAGGAGGCCAAAGCGGCCCAACAAAACGCGCTGAGTAGCAGCCCCGTCGGTGGGCTCGTAAACAGCGCGAAAGAGGCGGCGTCGGCGGCGAGCGCGGCCTCGGCCGCTGCGGCCGAAAGCGCGAAGCAGCAGGCCAGCAAGGCGAGCGCAGCGTCTGCTGCCGCAGCCGAGAGCGCCAAGGAGCAAGCCGGCAAGGTGGCGCAAAAGGTGGGCCTCTTTGTCCCTCTGCCGCCAGGCGAGTTCCGAGACGCGACTCCCACACGCGCCCAGGACTCCACCCGCGTGCAAGAGGGGTGCTAGAGCCTCGCCTGGCACCGTTCAGACCCTCACTTTCTCTCCGCGTCATGGCTGTCTCGGACTCACACTGCTCCCCTCCTCCCCACCGCAGCCAAACCGCCTAGCCCGCCTTCGCCGCCGGCACCGCCGGCGCCGCCGCCGTCATCGCCGACCGCGTACAACCAGTTTTTGCACCTGCTCGACCTCGCCGAGGCGGAGGCGGCACGGCGGGCCGCCACCGGCAGCGGGGACGGCGGCGGCGGCGGAGGTGGTGGCGTCGCGGCGACCGCGGGAGACGCCGCGGGGGAGGCAGAGGGCGGGGCAGAGGGAGGCGGCGGAGGGGCGGTCGGCGGAAGGGGGCGGAGGCCCTTTGCGTTTGTGGTCTCGGGCGGCGGCTTCCGCACGATGACGGCGGGCATGGCCTTTGCGCGCGCCCTCAGCATCGCCTTCGACGAGGAGACCAAGGCGGCGGAGGAAGAGGCAGAGGCGGGGGCGGAGAGGCCGGGAGGGCGGCAGTGGGACGACGTGACGCATATTGGTGGCAACTCGGGCGGGCAGTGGTTCGCGGTCCCCTTCGCCTTCTCGCGTTCCTTCTACCGCAGCCTCACCGCGCGAAACGACTCGCTCGCGGCCGAGGCGGAGGAGGCGGCGAGAGGGGAGGTGGACTGGGCGGAGGAGCAGCCGACGGACCGGGCGGCGGAGACGGCGGCGGAGACGGCGGCGGAGACGGCGGCGGAGGTGGTGGAGGAGGTGTCCAAGGCGTTGGCGAAGAGCAAGCCGCACTACGACGAGCACGGCTACCGCGAGATAGGCGAGATCCTGAGCGAGTGGGGGCGGCGGTGCTCAGAGCCCGCCCGGAGTCGGGGAGGGCCGGGCAGAGGGAGGCTTGGCTGACCCTTCTCGGAGCCTGGCCTGCAGGTACTCGGACGAGCTCTTCCGGATCGGCGGGCTGGGCGCCGCCTCTGGAGTGTCGTGGGGGGAGGGGCAGGGAGTGTGCCCCCTTCACCTCGCCGCGTCGCGTGCAGGCATCGTCTCCACCTCGCGCTGCGACGATCTCAACTCGCTGCTGTCGCGCGTCTCCGAGCACATGGACATGATGTCCTTCCCCACCGCCAACTGGCGCACCTTTGTCGACGCCACCCTCTCCGCCACCGTCCGACACGAAGAGCAGCTCAGCTACGCGGCCGAGCGGGCGGGCCTCACCGGCGCGTCCCTCGTGCAGCAGTTCTCGCTGCCGCCAGACACGTGGCTCGGCTCGACGCCGCGAGAGGTGGTGGCCCGCGTCCCGCCGCCAGGCCGCTCGCGGTGCGCCTCGGCCGCACCACCGGCCGCACATGGCCACATCTCGCGCGTGTGCCTCGCCAGGCTATTCTGCAGACGCCACGCTGCCCGTCGCGCACGTCGACGCGCCCGCCCAGGACCGCGCGCCCCAGAGAGGGGGAGAGGCGAGAGGGGCAGAGACGAGAGCCGCACGCTCCCTCACCCTCTCGGAGCCTTTGCCGCAGGACGACGGCCGCTCCTTCCGCGGCTTCTTCGCGCCCGGCCTCGACGCGCACGGCGACGCCGTCACGCTGCGCCAGGGCGCCCCCATCGGCGCACGCAACTACACGTGCGGCTGCGGCTGGACCGGCCGCCACGCGTGCCCCGCCTCTCCGACGCGCGGCAGCGACAAGGACACGCCGTACGCCAGCGACGACGGCAGCGCCTGCTTCCGCTACTGCTGCCTCCCGAAGCCGCCGCCGTCGCCGCCCGGCGCGCGCGTCCTCCGCGCGCGCTTCCCGCGCTTGGACAAGGACGTGCTCGTCGGGGAGGCGCGCGCCGCCCTCTGCCGCTCAAGCACTGGCGAGGAGTGATTGACGACTCGTTAATCAATTGGTTAATTAATTATTGGCGAGGAGTGATCGACGACTCTTTAATTAATTGATTAATTGATTATTGGCGAGGAGTGATCGACGACTCTTTAATTAATTGGTTAATTGACGACTCTTTAATTAATTGATTAATTGATTATTGGCGAGGAGTGATCGACGACTCTTTAATTAATTGGTTAATTGATTATTGGCGAGGAGTGATCGACGACTCTTTAATTAATTGGTTAATTGATTATTGGCGAGGAGTGATCGACGACTGATTAATTGATTATTGGCGAGGAGTGATCGACGACTCTTTAATTGGTTAATTGATTATTGGCGAGGAGTGATCGACGACTCACGCTGAATCGTTGTGAGTGGAGGTGAGCGCCGCCTCGTCCGCCGCCGCCGGCCTCGCCTCGTCGCCGACGCTGCTGCGCGAGGCACTGCTCCGCACCGTCACCTCTCCGGCGGCCAAGAACTTGCTGCCGGTGCCCGAGCTGCTGCAGAAGCCGTTCGAGTACTGGGCGGCCGACCACATCCAGAGGCTCGTGGAGGAGTGCATGCCTGGCGGCACACAGGCAGCGACCCTCCCTTTCCCCGCCCTCCCTCCCTCCCCGCCCCGCCCACGCTTCGCACACCCCGCGCGAGCAGGACTTGGGCGTCCTCCTCGACCTCCGCGTCGCCTGCGCCGACCTCGGCACTTGCACGAGCGGCGGCGACGCAGAGGGCGGCGGCGAAGGGGCGGAGGGGGCGGAGGAGGAGCGGGTCGGGTTCCGCGGCGTCGACGGCGCGTACACGGACAATTCGGGGCTGGCGATGACGCTGGCGACGGCGATGGCGGACTGCGAGGCGGGGCGGTCGCGGCTGGACTGCTCCGAGCGGACGATCGACGTGCTGCTGGTGGACGACTCGAGGCCGAATTAACTAATTAAGCACTAATTAACATTATTAGTTAATTAGGTGCTGCTGGTGGACGACTCGCCATTCGACGCGCCGAGGACCAACGACCTCGGCCGCTTCTTCTCCGACTCTGGCACTCCGCCGGGCGAGTTTTCGCAGCTGCCGCCCTTCTGGGCGCGGGTGCCCGGCCTCACCCTCTTCGCCGAGCCGTACCCGCGCAACTGGTCGCAGTACAGCTTCGCCGAGGACGGAGTGCGCCACGTGCAGAACAACCCGTTCGTCTCCGCGGCCGACCTGCCCTCGACCCTCGAGGTGGATCTGCCCGGCCCGCTCGGCACGGTCGACCTCGTACCAATGGCGCACCAGCTCAAGGACGGCGCCGAGGAGCTCGCCGAGATCACCGGCGGCGCCCTCCAGGACGAGATCCGCCAGCAGGTCGAGGGCGCGCAGCAGGACTCGTACCGCGGCTCGCACGTCACCTCCGGCACCTTCACCACCATCGAAAACACGGCGTGGGGCGTGCGCGCCGGATGGAAAGTGCGGCTGCTCGCCTTCGCACTCGACTACCCGGAGGTGAGCGGCGCCCCCCTGGACTCCTCCCCGATCGTGCTGCCCCCCAAGTTGGCGCGCAACTTCTTCCGGTACCTCTACGGGCCTATCGCGCGGCGAGAGATCGTGCGCGCGACGCCGATCATCCAAAGGTGGCTCGCCGGCCACGATGGCGTGGACGGCGTCTGCGGCGACTGCCTCCACGACCGCGGCTTCGGAGCCGCTGGCCTTCAGGACGACCCGCGCGACCCACCGACCCCTGACGCCGGCCGTGACAAGAGGCACCGACAAGAGGCACAGCCACAGCCACAGGCAAGCGCCCAGGTGGCCCCCCACGCCCCAGCGCCCAGGCCTGGTGCTGGAGCAGCCGCCGGAGGACTAGTAGCGCGTACGGCGTAGTCTGAGTGGCCAGGCGGCGGGCTTGGTAGTGCATGGTAGCCGTATACTGTTTAATCTATTATCAAATTCTAGTTTCTACTTCAGCAAAACCTCGCCTCCACTTCTCGCGAGTCATGGCATTATAACATGTGTATATGTGTGAGAAGATATGTGCGGACAACGCGCGCGCGGTACGCGCGCTGAAATTACTCAGACTGATGACCGATGTTGCATGACGGTCCCCGCCGTTGAGTCCAGCCCCCATACACAGCCCCATGCGCGAGGGCGCGCGGAGGGCGCGCGGCGTGGAGGGCGCGCGCGCAGCACGCACTGGCCAGCACACGCCCCCCCGAGTGCCGTGCGCCTCCGGCTCAGACCAGTGAGCCCGCCGCATTCTTCTTGGCCTGAGGGGGCGGGGGGAGGTGGTCGGGGTCAAGGACGCAGTGGTCGGCGGAGTAGGGCTCGGGGTGGGTTGGCCGACGGGGGCCCGCGTCAGGGCCGGGGGCGACGGCCCAAGGGGTGGTGGGCTGGGAGAGCGTGACAGGGGCGAGGGGCGGCGGCGGCGGCGGCGGCGGCGGCGAGGACAAGGGCGGCAGCTGCTGGCGGCGGCGGGCGGGTCGGCGGTGGCGGAGGAACGGTGGCGGCGGCGGCGGGGCGCGGCGGCCTTGTTTATGTACGCTTTGTCGGGAGGCGGGGTTTTGATGTCCCGCGCCTTGGCGCCGCCGCCGCCGCCGGAGAAGGCAAAGAAGGCGATGAGCAGCAGGAAGACCACGCCCAGCCCGATGGGCGTGTCGCCGCAGCTGTTGTCCTCGACGAGGTAGAGGCTGCCGTTGATAGCACTGAGCGACCAGTTGAGCGGCGCCAGGCAAGTGTGGTTGAAGATGCCGTACAGAGGCTCACAGGGGTCGTCGTTGGTGAAGGCGGAGCAGGGTGGCAGCGGGACGACGTCCTCGTACGAGTAGCCGCCGCCGAAGAACGGGAGAGCCATGTCTCGAGACGCTGTGGGACGCGCGGTGTGAGGTGAGAGGTTGGGCGTCTCGGAGGCGGTGGGGGCGGGAGCGGGAGCATGGGAGCGGGAAGGGCTCGCGGGGGCGAGCCGAGATTGGTCGCGAAGCGGCAATGTCTGGCTGCAGGGACGGATGGGCGCGCCGAGAGGCGGTAAGGTGCAGGAGGAGGAGCCTCGATGAAGAGCGCTGTGCGCCGCTTTTCACTTTTTTATTTTTTTGATTTTTTATTTTCTACAACTTGTGCATGTAGGCGCTTGAACCGCCCATAAAAAGTGGGAGGCTCTCTGCTGCCGCGGCGCCCCCGTCGGTGCGAAGGCGCCCGGCGGCCGCTTGGTGCCCACGGCCCCACGCCGACCGGCTGGCTGCTCTCGCGGCGCCGAGGCGTACCGCTCCGCTCTCTTCTCGCGCGCTGCGAGGTATCTTTTGGCATGTGAGCGCTGGCAGGAAACGCCAAGTAGCTGGTCTTCCATGTCTGCGGCCACGGGCGTGCGGGCGGGCTCGCCGGGCTGGGCGAAGCTCCGAGCGGGTCTTCGAGCTCGCCGCCCGCGAGGAGCCAGCATGGCTCGTCGCTCGACGGGAGCCTGCCCAGCATGCTCTCGGCACTCTGTACAGCCTCGACAAGCTGTCTGGGAAGGCCTACAAGGCCAGGGCGGGCCGCCTCAGGCGCGATGGCGCGCTGAATGGTACCATGACTACGAGCTCTCGATCGGGTCGCCGGCAGCGGGCTCGCGCGGCGTGCTGCTCGACGGCAGGCCGCTATCCACCCTTTCAACAGTGTCTTTTCACTCGCTTCTCTCGCTGCAACCGCCTGCGGGGGCCGGCGCCGGCCACCTCGCTTCGCCAGCGCTGCCTACACCTATACGACACGCGCATCGGCTCGCCGCCCGCGTCGCCTGCGGCGGGCCCGCGTGGCGCGACGCTCGTCGGGAGGGTGCTCAGCAGGCTGTGCAGCGCAGCCTGACTCACTCAGAGCGCCGCTGATGCGGCGTGGGGCCGCCGGCGGCGCTGCTGCCGCGCACACTGCGCTGTGGGCGCGTCACCATCGTGTCCTCGCCGCGTCGCCGACGCCACTTGCGGCTCGCGGCTGCCCTGCCCTTCCCTGCCATCGCGCAAACAAACACACACACACACACACACACACACACACACACACACACACACACACACACACACACACACACACACACACACACATACACACACACACATTATCGTTCAACGCAATATTGGAACGTAGTGGAAATATAGTGTTAACCCACCCCTTAGATTATTTCCAGCTTCGCCCCCCCGCGGGTGTCTGACTAAGCGCTTCGGCACCAGGCACCCATCCAGCCACAAATCCGGATAAAGTCCGCCGCTTGGCCAGGCATGAAGTGTGGCTGCCTGGGTCCGACGTGCTGCGGCATCTGCGGCCTTGCTGACGTTGCTGGCCGGCCGCGACTCACGCGCGACAATGCCGCGCAATGGACGCCTCCGCCGCTGCCCGACAAGAGGAACGAGGACAAGGCCGCCGAGCGCAATGCAGATGATGGGCTGCCGACGCTGTGGTTTTGGCAGATGGAAGGCTACCGGTACGCTGCGTGTGTGTCTGCCCTACCTGCCTCGTGGGTTCTCAGTAACACGCGCGCGCTCGTCGCAGGTGGCCGCTCGACGCAGCTGGCAAGGGCATCGGGCGCATCTACAACACCGCCTCGAGAGCCTGGACACGCCTCGCTGGTGACGACGACTTCCGAGCGGACGAGACGGGGGGGCGCTACCTGCGCGCGGATGCGCAAAGAGAGCGAGAGAAGGAGCAGGAGAGGGCAGAGGAGGCGCAGCAGTGGGCCGAGACGGCTGCGGCCGATCAGCAGGCCAGGCGCTCGCGCGTGGAGCAGCGGCGTGCAGCGGACGATCAGATCTGCTCACGCCACACGCGTGTGAGTGCGCCGCGCGCGGCTCGCGAGGATGTGCGAGGGCGGAGGCTGCGGCAGTGGGCGAAGCGCTTCCGCGCGCCGCCGTCGTCGGGCGACGAGTCGTCCGAAGACGACGACTTTAAGCTCCAGCTCAGCTTGTGCCGGTCTCGGGCTGACCGGCGTGAGATGCGCTTCTGGCGCCGCTGGGAGCGCGACGGGCGCCCCGAGATCATTCATCCACCGCCGCCCACGCCCGAGCAGATCGCAGCGGGCCTCATCGAGGAGCTGGTGTGCACGCTCGAGTACGAGGCGCGCAAGGCCGAAGTCATCGCCGACGGCGCCACGCTGTACAACAAGAACTGCTTCCGCATCGACGCGCAGTCGCGGCGGCATGACGACGACGACGCTGCCTTCGTGGCGTACCCGGACGGCTCGCGGAGCTGGGTACATCGGCCCTTCCGGACGACGTACGACCCGAACGGCGGCAACGCGCCGGCGGACCTGCTCGGCGAGAAGGATCCGCGCCTCCTCGTCATGCCATGGGCGACCGACTACTGCTTCCGCGAGCCGGACGTCGTGGAGGGCGCGACTGCCGAGGAGGTCGCGCAGGTCTGCACGCTGCTGCGCTCGCTCTCGCGCTTGCTCTTGCTCCTGGGCAACAGCTGCAACTCCAACCCGTATGCCCCGCCCGCGCTTGGCTGGCTCAAGGAGCACCTCGAGTTCCGCCGCTGCTGCACACACGACTGGTGCTTCGAGGTCGGCGTGCCGTGCACCGTCGACGATCCGGAGCGCGTCCTGGTCGCCGTACTCAGCGTGCATGAGACGTGGCACATCTCGCAGCTCGTCGAGTGCTGGCGGGAGACCCGGCACGTCTTCGGCATCGACGCCTTTCCGCGCAGCACCGACATCCGACCGAGCGACGCCGCCGCCTCGAGCGCAGCACCGCCGCCGCCGCCGCGCCAGCCGCGCGAGCTTGTGCTGCCCTTTTGGCGAGTGCCCGTTGGCGGCTTCCCTGACAACTGCATCCCCCAACCGTACGACGAGTATCTCGAGTTCAAGCAGATCGTCGAGCCGATCGTGCAGCGCACAGGGCGGGATTACTTTGCCGTTTGGAACGAGCAGTACAAAGAGCATCAGGCGCAGTCGCCGTGCCTCCGCTCTAGCCGCGACGTGCGGCTTGGGCTCGAGCAGCAGCGGCTGGCGTGCGGCCAGCACCATCTCCGCCCCCTGCAGCCGGTGTGCGTGCGCGTGAGGCCGCGGCGAGACTCGCCAGCCACAGAGGCTATCGCACGCGAAAAGGGCGTCTTTGCGCCTCATCTGCCGAATAGCGAGGCGGCCTTCAAAGCGGGGCTCTCGGCCAAGGCGCAGAAGTGGGAGCAGCGCTACGTGTGCATCTGCGGCGCCTCGTACGAGGAGATGCTGCTCGTCGCGCGCAGCGACGACATCGCCCGGCAGTCGCGTGAGGTGTATCACGAGATCCGCAGACAGTGGATGATCGAGGAGGAGCGCAAGGAGCAAGAGCGAGAGGAGGCGATTCAGCGAAAGCGCCAGAGAGTAGCAGAGCCGCCGCCAGCTGAGCACCCACTCGGACTGCCTTCTGGATTTGACAACGGCGTAGTGCCAGACGCTGTTTAGAACTGTGGTGTAGGTAGGTAGGTACGTAGGCAGCGCCGAATATAAATTAAGAATAGCGTTGAACCCATGCAGAGCCTTTATTAATCATCGGGTAATAATTATTAATTATTAATCATCGGGCGGCGGCGCGGCGCGGCGGCGGGCGGCGCAGCGGCGAGGCGACGCAGGGCGGGGCGGCGCGGCGGCGGGTGGTATAATTACTTATTAATTAATTAATAATGAATTAGTAATCATCGGGCGGCGGCGCGGCGCGGCGGGCGGGCGACGCGGAGCGGGGCGTAATCTGCAGTTACCGAGCGGCAATGGTCGCGCCGCCCTCGACTCAAGGGGCTGCCTTCCAGCCGTCGCTGCTCAGGCCGGGGGAGGGGGGGAGACCTCCTGTTCCCCGCGGAACGGGAGCAGGCCCCTCCTTGCCCGGTCAGGGCGGTGGTCGTGCCATCGTCGCTTCGTACTCGAAACCACCACGCCGCAACCGTCGCCGGCGCGCGACACGTTCCCGTAGGCCGGACTGTCCTCGTCGAGAGTGTGTGTCGCCAAGGCGAGACGCACTCAGGGACAGTGCCGACGGGACGCGGCTCGAAGGGTGTGGCTCCGCAGCGCGGCTGGCACTCGTCGCAGAGCAGGCCTCACCTTCGAAAAGTCGGGCATGGCTCTACCCGCAACTTTCTCGCCAACACGCGCGCACCGCCGAGCCTGCGGCGGGCGCGCTGCGGCCGCACGTCTAACTTCCTCATAGTGCCACGACGTGCGGCCTAGATTTAGCCCACGCGCCTCTGCTCGCATACACTCACCCATTGAATTGTCACTGCTCGTGAGTGCGAGATAGGGCTAGCAGTAGGCAGCTAGCCTCTGAGGAGGGCGTCCATAGACACCTCACTAGACCCCACACACGGTCTCGTCCGTGCCTCGCCGGGCGGCGAGATTGCTAGAGGTGGAGCAAGCTGCTCTAGCCTCGCATGTCACTTCCTTTCTTCTGTTGTTTGTTGTGTGCCCTTGTTTTGTTCTCTTGGCACCTTGGAGTGCTGGGGGGGGCGACAGGGAGGATGTGGCCCTGAGTTATGTGTACGCCTACTCAGGGTGTGTGGCAGCCCGCTGGCTGTGTGTCTTGTGAGCTTGTTTGTGTCTGTGTGTCGCTCGTGCGTGCCGTCATCATCTGTCCAGCGTCCACCCATACCGCGTTGGTGTCCAGTCCGAGCCTGGCTGTTCTTCACCTTCCTACATACATACATACGCTTGAAGGGGGAGGACGGCACGCCGCCACCGCTCGGGGACGAAGAGAAAAGAATAGGGGAAAAGAATAGAAAAGAATATATCCCGACCCGGACCACCCCGATGGTTGCGTGCTGCTAAAAGAAAGAAAAAGAAAACAGCCAACCAAGGGAGGGATGGGAGGACGGCACGGCCGCCACCACACAGGGCGCGCTGATGAAGGTTGAAGCGACAGGAGAGATAACGACGAGAGTGGGACGACCGCGAGGTGGCATGAAGGTTGCAGCGAGAATCGGCGAGGGACTGCGAAGAGAGATATGAAGAGGCAGACGCCCAAGGGTGGGCGAAGGCTAGCGCACCACACTCCTCTCCATCCCTGTCCCAAAAATCTACCGTCGCAAGACAAATCCGGCGAAAGCGCGGTGGGCGAGGCTGTGTTCGTATGCAGCCGACACAGCGACGACGCGCTGCACAGTGAAGGCCTCGACCTTCTTTGGGGCAGCAGCTGCTGCTGCTAGTCGCCGTGGCCCAGCTTGCCAAAGGTTCCCCAGCCCCAGCTGCAGACGGCTCCGTCGGCGGTGATGGCGAGGCTATGGAAGCATCCCGCCGACACAGCAACGACGCGCTGGCCAGCCAAGGCCTCGACCTTTTTCGGCAGGAGCAGTTGGTGCTGCACGTCGCCGTGGCCCAGCTGTGACTCGTCGAGGCCGGCCTTGACCGGGGGGGTCGTTCCCCCACCCTCCGCTGTCCCTGTCGCCCCCCCCCCCCCCCGCGCGCACTGATAACAACTATCTACGTGAGTGTCCGTATTATTAATGAACGGAATATGGAGTGATGAGCAGCTGTAGAATCTAGCGGGACCTCTCTCAGACTCGCTGGGAGGGGCTGCCGGCGGCGGTGCTGCTATCCGTGAGCCGCGACGCCGCCGTACGCAGCCACACAGGCGTCGACTCACCAGCCGATGCTCCTGAAAGGGGCGATCCGCCCTCGAGGCTGTTCGCCGTGGACGTTATAGGGAGTGGCTCTGCCGGTCGGTTGCTCGCCGCCCTCGCCCTTCTCGCCACTCGATGGGCGCTGGGGTGGCGGGTGCTCTCCCCGGGCTCGTCGCGGTTTCGACGTGCCGAGCACGTGCGCCGGGCTGAGCATGATCGGGACAAGGAAAGTCGAAAGAAGGGGGTGGCATTTCTTGCGCGCACGCCGCCCCGCACCGAGTCGGCCCGTGCACTGTCGCTCTCCCCCATTTGAGGTGGCCTCGGCGCGACTTTTGAGCGGCCGCGGATGGAGGTTCCGGCCGTCGAGGCCGGCACCCCCGGCTCGGGTGCGCTCACAGTGGACGATGTCATGGCCTTCCTGCAGAGCGAGGCCGCCGTCTCTCCTGGGCTGCTCGACATCCCTGCCGCCTTTGACGGGCCGGCGGACCGGCTCCCGCCAGCCGCGGCGGCGGCGTGCGTGCCGGTGCAGCCGATGCACCTGCTGCAGGGCGCCTTGGTGCCGACCGCACACGGCGCGTCCGTCCTCGCCCCCGCCTTCGCGCCGGCGGCCATGGCGCTGGCGCCGCCAGCCGGGCCTGCGCTCGCCCCTTGGGCGGCGGCTCATCTCGCCGACCTGTGCCAGGATGGGGCTCTCGTCCATGGCGGCGCTTGTGAAGCGAGCGGGCCCGCGGCTATGCCCTTGGTGGTCCCGAGCGCCGACAGCGACGGCAGCAGCGGGGCGATGGTCAGCAGCGGGGCGATGGTCAGCAGCGGGGCGATGGTCGTGCCCGAGAACGACCCGACGGTGCCCACCGCTGCCCTCCCCAAGGGCCAGTCCCACCTGTGCACCGTGCCGGGGTGCGGCAAAGGCCTTGCACCGCTAGATGCGGGCCTCCACAGCCCTGCGACACCCTCGGAGCCTGCCAGGCCGCCCCACACGCCCTCTGCTGGCGGCGACGGCCCCTCGCATCCGCAGTCCTCTCCTCGCGTCCCGTCTGGAGGCGGCGTGTATACCGCGTCTTCACAGGAGCCCTCTCCCCCCCTCCCCCCCCCCCCCCCGCGGAGGGTTCGCCTCCCGCTGGTCCCTCCAGCGGCACATGCGGACGCACGACACTGCGGGCGACGACACGGAGGACGCAGACTCCTTTGTGGAGCGGCGGCTGCCCGAGCCGGTCAAGGCGTCCGAAGCGGCGCTTGAGCGAGTCAAGGAGCGGATCGCCCAAGAACAGAAGCAGCACGACCAACTGCGTACCGAGGCGCGGGACCCAGCGTTGAGATCAGGAGATCGCGTTGAGATCAAGAGATCCACTCGAGATGTGGCCGAGATGAGGCCGAGATACAGCGGAGGCACACTCATGAGAGGCCAGGGCCGCCACCCGCCGCCATCGCCATCGCCGCCGCCGCCACCACGCCCGTCCCACCCGCCACACCGCCGCCCTCCTCCTCAGGTGCGCGAGCGCGGCGTCGCGGCGCAACAGCAAGAGGCGGAGCTGCGGCGTCTTTTGCTGCGAAACATGGCGCACCGCCCAGCCGCCCACCCCGCCGCCAAACCACCACCAACCGCCGCCCACCCCGCCACTGTCGCCACCCCTACCCCGCCCCTAACACCGCCCCTAACACCACTCTCACCGCCGCTGCCGCTGCCGCCACCGCCGCTGCCGCCGCCGCTGCTGCTCCTGCCCTCCGCCCACCGCCCACCGCCCACCGCCCACCGCCCACCGCCCACCGCCCACCGCAGTCCCTCGCGCGTCGGCTCGCCGGCTCCAACCCGGACGCCCTCCGCGCGATCGCGTCGGCCAACTCGCGCGACGGCGGCGTGGCGGCCTCGCTCGCGGGCGGCGGCGGGGCAAGGGGCAGGGGTGGCGGCGGCGGTGGCGGCGGCGGCGGCGGCGGTGGCGGCGGCGGCGGCGGCGGCCGAGGGGGCGGGGGGGGCGGGGCGTGGGTCGGCGGCTCAGGCAAGCAGACCCCGGCGGCGCTGCTCGCGGCGGCGGGCCTGATCGGCCCCGGAGCGACGCACCCCTCGCAGCTGCGGCAGGGCGGCGAGGCGAGCCGGTTCCAGGCGTCCGTGCTCGCCGCAGCGGCGGGGGGCGTGGGCGGCGGGGTGGGCGGCGTGGCGGGGGGGGTCGTGCCATTGCCGCGCCGCCCTCCCCCCGCCCCTCCAGCCGTCGACGAGGACGACGGGCGGCGGCGAGGGGAAGGGGGCCCCTCTGCTGGGGACGCCTCCAACGACAGCGGCGGCGGCGGCGCGGGCAGCAGAGCCGCGACGCCGCTGGGAAAGCGGAGCGAACACCCGCGCCGCACCAGCGCCGACCAGAGGGAGGAGCCGCACCCGTCATCGAAGCGGGCCGACGTGGTGCCCGACCCGCAGCTCTCAGAGACATACTTCATGTAGCGTGGCGGTGTTTCGATCAGGTCAGAACGAGCGATGGGATCTGCTTCGTGCTTGATAAAGTGCGGGGCGAATGTTGTTTGTGACAGGTGATGGTGTGCTGTGCGTGTGAATATTATCGTGCTACGTGCTCATATCTCGATCTCTCGTCTCGCCGAAACAGCTGTATCTCGCGAAATCTTGATTTTTCACGCCGTCTAACAATCGTGTTCAAGCGGCCCTCCTGTGAGCTGGTACACCAAGAATGGCTTACCACTGCCAGGGGCCACACTGTGGCAAGCTGTGATGAGCGTGGTTTGGCTTGTGCAGCCCATACGGACGTGGTATATATACATATATGCGGCGACGTGTCGGCCGGTTCGGGGCACGAATTCCGGATTTTTCCACGGCCTAACAATCGTTGCTGTAGTGGCGCCAATGGCCGCCTCCCGTCGCGCCATTGGCACCCTAGCCAGCAGTAGCACCGGAGGCAACACCACCAAGCCCACAAGTCACAAGAGTGACGGAGATGCTTGCCACGAGCACCGTGACGCCCGACCCTGTGAGCACCGTGGGCGTATACGGCTGCATACGGTGAGATGATGCACAGCATGGCCAGACGAGGGAAGCAAGGCTCGCCAGCTGTGTGTTAGTGAGGTATATGGATGTGATCAACATGTGTGCGTCACAGGTACGCGCAGCAGCGCATGTAGCCGCTGATATCGAAGACAGCGCAAACAGGTCTTTTTGCGCCCCTGGGTAGTCGACGGGCCCCCGGGGGCGACGGGGGTGCTCTCGCGGGGGGTCCCCCCAGTCAAGGGGGTCTGGGGCGCAGCCCCAGGTAGCCCGCCGCAGGCGCCGATTTTTGGGGGCTTTTTTGACTGATTTTCATGAGGTGTTGCTACTATTTTGGGACCAGTTGAAGCCTAAAAATGGCTACAAATACAGCCACAGCAGCTGCTAGTCGTGAGCTGCTACTGTGTGGCAGAGCCCAGAGAGAGGGGGCTTTCAGGAGCACTATTCAGTTTGATCCAGCTCAATGTTGCGGAGTAGTAACACTGTTCCGTTACCGTGAGCGGCCGGCGGCCGGCGGCGGCCGGTGGCGGCACGCGGAGCACTCCGTGAGCGGTGACGGGTGCGGACGAGCGAATGAGAGGTCCCTTTCAGTGAGAGATAGGCAGCCCTGGTCTCTAATAACACATCTTCCACAGATAGCGACCTCTCATTCGCTCGTCCGCGCCCGCCACTGCTAGTCGGGACACTCCCGGCGTGCGGCCCGGTCCCGGTCGTCACTCCGGTTGCTCGTGTTCACACCGTCAGAACTCAGCTCCGCTAAGGATCCAGCGTCAGACTTGGGCATCTTACACAACTTTTGTAGTAGAGCACAATGGCACCCTTGGATCAAGTGGATCACTTCATTAATAGACCGTAATAGAGGTCCCCGTTTTCGGCCGCCGCGGCCGGAGAGCACCCCCGTCGCCCCCGGGGGCCCGTCGACTACCCAGGTTTGCGCCACGCACCCGATGGCCGTGCAGGTCCAACTGCGTGCACAGGAATGCTATCAGCGCGTCTCCGCCATAACTGGACATGGCAATGAAGCAGCTGAGACGTGACAACACCGGTGCTGGGCCAAGGAGGTGCCGCTCACCGCCGATTGTTAGGACTGTCGTCGAAGGCGAGCGGCGGTCGCCGGGCAGCAGCTCGTGGCGATCGTCGATCCGCGAGCTGCCAAGCTTGTCAAAAAAAATTGCTAACGCGAAAAACCGGCACACCAATCTCCCTTCCTCTCCCTATCCTTTCTTGGAGCTCTAGAGTCCACACCCCCCTGCCCCGGGATCGCGTACAAGCTGAGGCTACCGTAGGCCACACTAGCGTCGCTGGGGGTTCCCTGCCCTAGATGGGAAGCTGGCCGCTGATCCGAAGACCGACTGCACCAGGGCGCCTAGATATACTCAAGGTGAGCGAGGGTGAAGTTACGCCTTAAATGCCTGTCTCTCTACTGTGGACCTTACTCCGAGCTCGACGGCTCCTCCTATTCCCCCACCCCCCCTCCCCCCCCACTCTCTCCGAGTAAGGGCGTGCGCTACGTCCCCAAGGGGGGGGGGACGTGGGGGGGAGGTGTGACTTTTAGGTTGTAGCGTTTGGGTTTTTGTGGGGCACCCAAACGGTTTCGGTTTTCCTCCTTGGTGCCCCGAGTAGAGCGCGATCTCCCCTGGAGTCTGTCGCGCCCGTTCTGTCTAAGCTCGAGGTTCAACCTTCCAGTTGATCCTTATCGGACTGGTGAGGTCTGCCTAGCCGTCGTAGTGTAGTGCCTGGGGTGCGTCTGCGTCGGTGCTACACACACTCGGCAGGACGCTGCTGTAAATCGTTGCTGCTGGTCGTCGCTGTTTGTTAAACGCGATTTTCGCCATGGTGTTTTTTTATGCTTATGGCAGTAAAAAGAAACGGAAACGTGTGCGGCAGGCGCGGGCTCGGTCGATATCCCATACTTCGACTCACATCTTCACTGCTGCGGTGTGTGCCCGGGGAGGCGCGGCGGCGGGGTGGATTGAGAAGGTCTCAGAATGCAGAGAAGCTGCAGGCGTGCAGAGGCGCGCGCTGCAGTTTCTCTGATCGGGCTGCTGGCGGTGTGCGCGAGACGGCGTGGTGAGGCGTGAGGCAGGCTATTGTTGTGGGGTGCGGGCTGCGTCTAAGCGTATGCGTGCACATGGTGCTGTATGCTGTGTGTGCAGGCAGGCTGACAGGCTGTGCACAGCAGACTGGGCGGATGAGCGAGCGCGCGTGCGGGCGTGCGTGCGCGCCTGGGCCTGCGCGGTGCCGTCGCACTCGCGGCGCGTCCTAGTACAGCCGCTTGTGGGATGCCAGAAGCAGTCTGCAGAGCCTGCACAGGGCGCAAAAAGGCGCAGGTGTGCTGGTGAGGTGTGCTGCGGCGCGCGCGTCGCGGCGTGAGTGGATATGCGGCTTGCTCTGGTAGTGCGAGGGGCGCGCAGCTGGTGCGGGCGGCGCGGGACGGTCATGGGGCGCCAGCACAGGGCAGACGCACATGGCACAGCTCTGAAATGGCGCTGCGCGTGTTTGCGTGCGCGCGGGGACGTACGCGCAGTTTTCACGCGGTGTGCGTGGAGAAGGGCATGAGAGGCGCCGGCCGCGCGTGTGTTGTCGTGTGGGAGTTCGGAGTATGCCCGGAGGGCGGGGTGGTTTAGGGCGACTAGACTTCGCACTGGCGCCGGAGGCCCCAGATATGAAGAAAAGTCAGCTGCCAAGCTTGTCACAGGCCGGCACTGGATCGAGGACGATGGCGCCGCGCGGCTGGAGGCAACGGAGAAAGGCATTGTGGAGCGGCGAGGCGATTGTTAGGAATTTCGAGGCGGGGTCGCGGAAAAATCCGACAGCCCTGCAAAATCAAGTCTATTTGCGAGAGAATGTACACACAGCCTCACCGTAGATCTCAGAGTTCATCGTGCTCCTCCGCCTCCGCCGCCTCTGCCTTGGCGCCGTACTGCACCTCGTCGCACGCGGCGCGCCAGCGGCTCGCCCACGACGCGTTCTTCGACTCGTCCAGCACGCGCCACGACTGCTCTCGCGCTCGCGCTCCGCCCATCGCCGGCGGCTCCCCCCGTGCGCTCGTCGGCTTGCCGTGTGAGAGCACGTTGGCGTAGTCGTCCAGCAGCGCCGCGAAGCCCGTCCCTCGGCACCACACGAGCTTGAAGGCGGTCCGCGCGCCAAACTGGCGGTGGCAGACGTCTTCCGGAGAGGAGATCTGGCAGGTGCACCACGAGCCGCCGGGCCCGCGCTCGCTGATGGACGCGTCGACGATGTGCGAGCCGAGGTAGTTGACGGCATGCATGCCGGCGACGCGGGACGCCTCGTTGGTCTCGTGCTGCCGCGTGGAGTCCATCGTGCAGCAGTCGACGTGGTTGAAGTCCTGGAAGCAGTGCGAGGTGGACTGCTGCACCTGGAGCCCGCACGCGTCGACCACAGCCTCACGGACCTCATTCCATGGCGCGTCAAGGCTGACCAGCCTTGCGCGCCGCTTCGCCTCCTCAGCCCGCTCCTCCGCGGTGCCGCCACAGCCGTTAGCCTGGTGCGGGCAGTCGTGGTTGACCGCGACGGCCACGGCGAGGAGGAGCGATGATGCGACTGGGTATCGGTTCATACACAGAGAGCGAGTACGTACAGAGAGAGAGAGAGAGTACGCAGGAATCCAGCCAGAATCCAGCACCGCGGCTGAGCTGGCGACACCGAGACGGCCAAACACAAAGATGACAGCGATTTTCTTTTTCTCAGTGTACTGCACATGGACATGCACATGCACATGACATGCACATGTATGTCCCAACCTAACCTAACCTGTGTATGTGGTTCTTACGAACACACCCGAGGGTGAACTGCTGACAGGGTTTGCGATGACTATCCTTTTTCGTTGTATGTGGTATTGCTTGAGCACTTGAGCACTTGATAGGGTCGATTCCGCATGGTACGGGACCCCTCGATCGTCTCGCCCTCCCTCACTGGTGTGTTCATTGGGGGGGGTCATAACAAACACGGTACAGGATCGAGGTGCACGCTGCCGAGGCAGTGTCGTCCCCCCTCTCCCCGACGGCGATGGCGGTGTGACCGATCGAGCTACAAGAAGAGCTTGTTCAGCAGGATCCGGGCCGTCGGATGCACTACCTCACTGGGCCTGAGACCACCGCACGGCCAGCCCTTCACCACTCCGGGTTTGCGTGGAGTCGAACCACTCCGGTATGGGCGAGCCCATTGAGCATTGTTTTGAGTTGAGTCCCTTCTCGCCATTGCTGGTTAATTGTCGAAATTCCTGTTGTGCAAGAGGGGAGGGGGCTCTGACGGAGTGTGTGGCGGGAGAGGACAGTCCGGCCTACGGGAACGTGTCGCGCGCCGGCGACGATTGCGGCGTGGTCGTTGTGAAGCGAAGATGGCACGACCACCGCCCTGCTTCGCAGACCGGGCAAGTAGGGGCCTGCTCCCGTCCCGCGAGGAACAGGAGGTCTCCCCCTTCTCCCCGGGCCTGAGCAGCGGCGGATGGAAGGCAGCCCCTTGAGTCGAGGGCGGCACGACCACTGCCCCGCCTCAGAGCCCGGAGGTCTGATCAGAGCAGGTGTTCGCGCCGCCCCGCTCCGCGCCGCCCGCCGCCGCGCCGCGCCCTCGCCCGACGATTGTTAATGCCCCCGACTGAATACCTCCCCCCAACTGAATTCTGGAATACAGACTATTAATAATTAATCACTCCATCAGCAGCTCAGCGCTGATCGCGCTGCACCTATGACTCGACCAGTGTGAAGGTGAAGAGATAACACCGAGCGTGCGGGCAGCTGGCGGGCGGGAGGGGCAGCAGGAGCAGCATCATTGGCATCATCAGCAGCAGAGGAGCAGTGCCGCCGCGTCGCCGCCGCCGTCCGCGCGCCGCCGCCACCGTCCGCGCGCCGCCGCCAGCCCGTGTGCTGCTGCAGCCGCCTCCGCCGCCGCCGCCCGCCTCCGCAGTGCCCTCGCGCCCGCGGACAAAACCAGTCATATATGATGAGCCGGTTTTGCAGAGCGTACAAGACCTGCATGACTCCGTTGCACGATCGGCCGGCGTTCGAGCCGGCGCTCTTATGCCGCCGGTTCGAATCCCGGTGGTCGTGTCCTCGCGGAGGCAGCGACGCGGATCGCGCGCGTGTGCGCCTGCGACAAGACGAGACGAGACGAGACGAGACGAGAAGAGAAGGAGAAGGAGAAGCGAACGTCGATGTTTTTGCTGCCGCGGCCGCGCGCGCCGCGACCTCGCGTTTGTTTTGGCGCCGATGCAGCGCCGTCTCTCGCCGCGCGAGATGGCGCCGCCGCGGCGTCGGCGCCGCGATCAACCGCGCTCCAGCAGCGAGCGGTGCAGAGCGGCTACCGACATGACAGTTGGCGACGGCGTCTCAGTACTAAGGATCAGAGGTGTCGAGGCCAGGGCTCAGGCAGCAGATCTCCATGGCGGCGGTGGCGGGCGACGCCGACAACATCAACAAGCAGGCGCGCAAGACGCGTACCAACTGGCTCAAGTCCCCTGAGCGGGCCAACTGGGTCACGAACAAGCAAACGGCAAACGTCTTCTTACCTGACATCTTTACGCTCGGGGCTCGGCCCCGGTGGGGGTGCGGCCCGCGCCGCCTAGTTCCGCGGACGGGCCCCTCCACCCTTCACGTACGGATCATGTTCATCTTCATGTTCATGTTCATGTAGTCCCCACAATCGCTGTCGTGGGATCACTTGTCATGTGAGAGAGAGAGATTTTTAGCAATACCAAACAACTCTAACACTCACACGTAATTTGGGGCCTGGAGCCCTGTTCACGCGTTTGTTTGTCATGTGAGAGATTTTTAGCAATACCAAACAAATCTAACACTCACACGTCATTTGGGGCCTGGAGCCCTGTTCACGCGCGTGCGAGACGTGCAGACAGGGTTGCCAGGTGAGAGCGAATGGCGCGGTTCACGCCTCGCACAACAGAGAGAGAGATGCGCTCTGCATGGTGGGACATAAAGGAGAGCGAGTACTTGGGCGAGTAGGCCGTGCGGTCGACGCTGCCGCGCGCGACTTTGCGCGCGAGGCGGCGCAGCTTGAGAACGGCGGTGGGCGAGAAGCCGCCGCCGAACGTCTCGTGGAGCAGCAGGTTGAAGTTGTTGCGCTTGACAAAGATCGCGTCGTGGTAGAAACCGCGATGCGCCTTGACGTAGCCGTGGCCAGTCTTGTGGGAGAAGGGTTGGCCGGGCTGCCCGCGCGCCTTGCAGCCCATGTTTAGGCGGCGGGCCTTCTCTTCGGTGTTACCAAAGGCGTAGGAGTGGCCAACGGAGGCGGGCGTGCCGCCACTCGAGGCGTTGCCAACGCCCGGCGAGGAGGTCTTGAGGAGGGGCGTCCAGAGCTTGACTTCATTCACCTCATCGCATCCTCCCGGGCCAGCATGGGGTTCTGCGAGGTCAGTCTTGTACCCCTCGTTGTACTGCCGGGTGAGCTCTGGTTTCTCCTTGTCGCCGTGCACGACCGGCGCGTTGGCCGGGGCGCGCATCGCGTCCGCCCAGGCGGCGAGGACGCCGTCGTGGGGCCGCCGGTGGTGGGCCTTGTTGTAAAGGTAGTCGCCGAAGAAATCGACTGGCATGCCCCGCTCGAGCGCGACCCGAAGGGTGGGAAGCGCCGCGGAGAGCCAAAGGCCGAGCTTTCGCTGGAGCTCGTCCTGGAGGGTGTCGGAGGAGAGGGCGGTGGCGTACGTACCGTCGACACGGACATCGAAGGCCTTGCGCCGGCGAAAGGCGTTGAGGCGGAGACGAAGCGCGCGGCTTCGCGGTTGTTGACGGCGCTGTCTCCGAGGGACGGGTTGTTCTTGACGTGCACATCCCGCGCCTTGACGAGCTCCTGGTGCGCGTACCAGTCCTTGTGATTCTTGATGGCAGCGAGCGCCCGCGGCCGCGGGTACGTGGATTTGCAAGTGCCATTGAGAATCGCGTCGGTAGCTGGAAGGGACTCGGGCTCGGGGAGCGGGACGCTCTTGGGGTAGAACTCAGTCAGGTAGCCGCCGCGGACGGTGTAGTACTTGTTTTTGTCGCGGGCGGCGCGCTTCTCGCACACCTCCTTCCAGTCCGAGAGGGCGGACTCGTAGGTGGCGATAGCTGCGGCAATGGCGGGGTACTTGGATGCACCTCCCTCGTCGTGGGCGAAGTCGGGGTTGTGGGCGACGAGGGTGCGCCAGTTCTTGAGGAGCGACATGGAGAAGTCGCTGTCGGCTCGCGTGAAGGCGGTGTCGATGTTGCACCCGCCCATCTCGGTCGGCAGCTGTGCCTGGAGCCACGCGAGGTCGCGGAGCGCCTGGGGCGAGGCGTCGGCGCGAGCAATGCTCTCAAAGGACTTGCGGATGCGGTTGTGCGCAAACTCGAGAGCCTCGCACGCGACATTGGGCGGCGTGATGCCGGCAATGTACTTGGTCTTTGCGCGTTTTGTTTGTCATGTGAGAGAGTGCAATAAATAAAAAATGAAGAAAAAACACAGCAACAAGGGGTGGGAGAAGGACAGGGTCCCCAACTGCACGAGCAGGATCTTGTAAGGACGATCAGGGACAGGGGAGCGGGAGCCGGGAGCGCTTGCGCATGTGAGATCCGGGCGTTTCTCTTTTCCTCGGCCTTGAGGAAGCACAGCGCGCCAGCACCCCCGGGCCCCCGATTGCTTACTTTCCCGGTTGCCGATGAGAATACATGCCAGCGAGGGCCGAGCCGCTCCTCCCTGTCGCGCGCCACGAGGACCGTCAGCAGCGCGCCACGAGGGCCGTCGCTGACGTCACCGTCGAGCCGCTAGTCGCCGCAGCCGATGGCAGCAGTAGCCCTGCGGCTGTCGGCAGCAGCAGTCACGCCGAGGCGGAGCCATCCAAGACCTTCCCGCCTCTCTTCGAACGGCCGCCGCTCTGTCTCGTGGCGTTCGCGCTCCTCCTCTCGACTGCAGTCGCACTCCTGTGCACGGTCTTCCGCGACGCTCTCGCGGTCGTGCTGCGGCAGCCGAGCGGCGAGGCGGCGGCGCTGCTGCTGCTCAAGCTGGTCTCCATCCCGGTTGTCTCGGTCGCATTCACCTACACCCACATCTGGCGTCGCACTGATTTGCCGTAAGGCGCCGCCAACAGCTCGCCCGGGACCCTCTTCTCGCAACCTTGCCATAGGCTCGCACTGTGGATGACCTTCAAGCCTGTCAACTTCGTCGGCTGCCTGCGCATTCCGCGCACGAACGTCGGCCTTGGGTGCACCACACACCCACGCGCCACCCACCAACGCCCATACTCCACGCAGCGAGTGTGGCACACACCCCTTCACGGCTGTGCGGTTGCAGGTGGCGGACAAGGCTCTTGATCCATTACTGTTGGTGAATGAATGAGCAGGTGGCAGGGCATCATCCCCTTCAAGGCGGTGCCCTTCGCGCTCAAGGCGTGCGACAACCTCATCCCGTCGCTCATCTCTCCGCAGGCGTGCGGCGGCCAGAAGAGAGGAGACGAGACGAGACGAGACGAGAGGAGAGGAGAGGAGAGAGCCGGGAGGAGAGGAGAGTGCTAGCCCGACCCCGAGCCCTATCCTAACCCTCTCCAGGAGTGCGTCGGCCGGGTCGAGGCTGCCGGCCTCGTGCGCGAGAAGGCCGACCCAGCTCTTCGACGGGTCGCCAACCCGTGCCCCCTGCTCTGCCGACATCACCCGAGGTTGCGCGAGATAGGCCGCCGAGTTCGACCAGCTGGCGGCAGACGCTGTCGACGCCGCCGTCGCCGTGGCGGCGCCGCGGCTGTGGGGGAGGTCGCCGCGGGCGGCCAAGCAGGTTGCGTGTGTAGCACACAAGCACTGCACGAGTAAGCCCCCCCCCCCCCCCCTTGCGGGCTCGGCTCGCCTCGCAGCGAATGATCGATGGACTGCGCCACCAGGCGGTGCTGGAGATGGCTCGCGTGGCGACGCCTCAGATCGTCGAGGCGGAGATGATATTCTATTCCATTCTATGCTATTCTATTCTATTCTCACGCCTCAGATCGTCGAGGCACATGCACCTCGACAAGAGGAGGGAGGCGGACCCCCAACCCCAACCCTGGCCCCAGCCCCCGGCCCCAGGCAGTGCTGCTCGACCTGAGGAGAGAGTCGCTCGTCGACTCGACTCTCTTCGACATCCGCGGGCTGGTGATCGACATCCTCACAAACGACCCAAAGCTGGCGGTCGACACTATGATCGAGATGGGGAGGCGCACGCTGCAGCCCACCCACACCTCGGCTCGACCCCATCTCGACCTCGGCTTCAGCTCGGCTCGACGCGATCTCGACGCAATCTCGACGCAATCTCGAGGTCATCTCGAGGTCATCTCGAGGTCGTCTCGGGTAGGCCCGAGCTGCAGTTCATCCGCAACAGCGGCGCGCTGATGGGCGGCGCGTTCGGCCTCGTCCAGCTGGCGATCTGGGCGGCGTGGCCGCAGCGCGCGGTCGCCACCTCCACGATGCCCGTGTGTCCCCTGTGAACGGCGCCTCTTCACACCCGTCGGCTGAGCAGGTCGCTATCTTCACGATGCCCGTCTTTGGCGCCGTCGTCTCGGCCCTAACCAACTGGCTCGCGCTGCTCATCATCTTCCGCCCGCTCCACCCGCACCGCCTCTGCGGCGTGACTGTGCAGGCGCGCGGCGCATCGACCGCTTAACGCCTAGAGGCGTGAACAGCTGCCCCTCACCGTCGGGCGTGGCGGTGCAGGGCATCTTCTTGCGCCGGCAGGCCGCCGTCGCGCGCATCTACGCGCGCATCATCGCCTCCAAGGCCCTCGCACTGGGGCAGCCCACGCAGGACGGAGAGCCTCGTCCGAACCTCTGCACGCACTTTCCTCCCTAGGTCCTCACTTCGGAGCGGCTCACGCACATCATCTCGCGCGGCCGCGGCGGAGAGCGGCTGCTGCGACGAGCTCCTCCGACCAGCGCAGAGGGGAGGGTTGTGAGCCGCACCGCTGTGAACAGGAGAGCGGCTGCGCGAGCTCACCCGGCTGCGGACGATGGAGGCGACCGAGGTGCCGTCCGGCGCTGACCTCGGCAAGCCGGGCACCGAGGCGTGGAGCTGGTGGCTCGTGCTCTTCGCCCGCACGCTCGGCCTCGCACCGAGAGGCACCGCCGCCGCCGACGCGGCGGTGGCCGAGCTGACGCCGCCGCCGACGCCGGCCAGCAGCGTCTGCGGCGACGACGAGGACGGCGGCGGGAGCGGCGGCGGCGAGAGCGGTGGCGGCGGTTATAGCAGCAGTGGCGGGGGCGCAACCGCTCAGCTGTGGGACCAGGCGCGCGCGGCGGCGTCGGAGGTTGTGGTCGAGCGCATCCCGGCGCTGCTGGAGGAGTCGGTCGAGTACGTGGAACGCTGCATGGATCTGAGCGAGACGCTCGCCGACCGGATCGCGGCGCTGCCGCCGGACGTCTTCGAAAACATGCTGCACTCGTGCTTCCAGGAGGACGAGTGGATGCTCATCACTCTCGGCGGCGTGCTCGGCTTCCTGATCGGCCTCGCGCAAGCTTTCGCGCTGGGCGCGTGAGATCGCTTCGAGCGGTAGTGGTGCGTACAAGTGCGCGGCGGCCGAATGGTGGACGATGCCCGACGCAGTGGTGTCGCAGCAGCACAAAACTTGTCTGGGCACTGTAAAAGTATTTAAATGTATACGACTTTGGTACTGGATAAACGAGGCACATACGTGGGGACCCCCCCCCCCCACCCACGGACCCCCCCACGCGCGCGCGACTAATGTCACACACGCTGACAGCCATGCTGTCTCATGTAAACGTCTACCTACTTCGTACAGCTGCGCCGCGACTGCCACTCTCTGACTCACACATGATGATGATTGCCGTGATGCCCGCCTGCGCCTCCTGGCCACCCCATGTTTGCGTGCAGGTTCGGGAGGGAAAGAGAAGTCAGCCAAGGCGCCATGGGCATGGCGGGCAGCGGGGGCCAGTCTGACCAGTGCAAGGGCGGCGGCGGTGGTGGAGGCCCCCTAATCTGCGGCGGCGCCCACTGCGCCGGCATAGCGTGGTACGGCATCACAGCAGGCGGCAACTGCTTGGCCGGGCCCGGGCTCGCAAAAGCTTGCCGGAGTGTGGGGAGCGAGCCGTGGCTAGCCACCCGCCTCGGGCTGACACTGTCCTCGTCTGGCCCCCGCAGCCTCGCCCTCTCGCCCGGCGGTGGGTGCCGAGGCTCCCGAGGGTGTGCAACCGCCGCTGCCAGCTTGGCTCTGGCCCGGAGGGCTAGCGAAGTGCGGCGGTAGCTCGACCTAGTTGTGCGAACGAAACGATGTCAGGACGTGGATTGCAACGTGCGTTGCGTGGACGACATGCATCTGGACCCGCAGAGCACCGGCGCAAAGGTACACTGGTTCGCGTCCGCCTGCTCCCTAGCAGCTTTCTGCGTGGGGTGGGCAGCGGACAGTGGTAAGATCCCCCCCCTCGCACGCTGTCTCCTCAATGCAGGGTCACGCGGAGCTCACCTCCAGCTCCAGCCGCTCCTGCGTCTGTCGCTTGCGCACAAGGCTGCGCTCGTAGATCGAGTCCACCGCGGGAGGATCCTCTGGCTCCGGTGGTGACTCTAACCACTGCGCCACCTGCTGAGACTCTGCCGCCTCTGCTTCCTCTGGCTCGGAGTTGCCGTAACCGGTACTGCCCCGGCGGAGGAACCTCTGAAACTCAGCCGCGCTGATCCGCCTGCAAACAAAGTACGCTGGGTTGCGGCGACCAGCGGTGAACAACAGCGGGGGTTGTGGGTTAGTAGGCCACACCCATCCTCGTTGACGTCAAATGCCAGCCATAGACTCTGCAGTTTGTGCTCCCGCATGCGCATCCCGAGTCGCTCTCGCACGAGCGTGGCGAACTCTCCCCAGTCAAGCGAGCCCGACCCGTCGCTGTCGAGCAGCCCGAAGCTCCTCTCCGTGAGACCTATTAGGTCCAGCCACGCACATGGACATGTGCATGCACATGCACATGCACATGTTGTAGCATGTGCATGATGGTGGCGGCAAGGGGGGCGGCAAGGGGGGCGGGAGAGGCTGACCCAGCTGCTGCATCCGCGCGATGACTTTAGCCGCGTGGCGATCCACGGCACCCTCGTGGGCGGGGCTGGCCTTCGGTAGCGCGCCGGCGGGGATAGAGCGCCGGTTGAGCGCGTCCTGTTCTCTCCGCCGCCGCGCGGCGTCGTGCCGCGCGTCCATGACGAGAACTGGGCCGCCGCGCGAACAATGTCGTTTCGTGTGAGCGCGGGCCGGAGATGGACGATCGTCATCCCCCACGGCCCTGGCGAGGTACCGGTAGATCTACTTCCAGCCTGCTGTGGGAACAGCTGACGCAGTCTCGCCGAGGCTCTCGGGTTGACTCGGCCAGACAAAAACCCCGAGAGGCGTGGGAGTACCTCGCCAGCCCACGGCCTAGAGAACACAACCCCTCTCCCTTTTCTTCTCTCTCTCCCAGTAAGTAAGCTAAAACGTACGTACACGGTGGTTGGGAGAACTGAGTGAGGTTAACAACGGTGATGCTCTGCGACGACGAGATGTGCTGCCTCACGTGTCTCCGCAGCTCCTGGATCAGGTTCGAGATTTTGCCCTTGTCCTTGACGTGGCCGCGGGAGCCTCGACGTGGCCAGTATAGGAACAAGGTGTCCTTCCAGCGCGTGCACGCTTCTGATGCAATGCGCGTCACAACAGCGTCACAAACTGCCTCGCTCGGATTGGCTGCTGGCACTCTCGAGGCTATGCCTAACAGCCTCGCGCGCATGTGGGCAGTCAAGAGGGACGCATGCACCTTCTCAGGACAGCGCCGGTGCCTCTCTCTTGGACCGGCAAACGTGGTGGTCTCGTGTCACCAATGTGGGACCAGTGCGGCATCGCGCCATCGACAGCTCTGACCTGCGCCTCACCACTGACCGGGATGAAGGCCGCCAAGGTCCTTCGGGCCCCTTTAGGGGGGCAAACCCTGCCCGGCCCCTAGGACCCCAGGTAAGGCCCAGGTGTGGCCTAGGCCATGAGAAGGGACCAAGAGGAGTCCAGTCTGAGCCATACATAGAGCCCATGTCTTCGCCCCCGAGAAGGTCGCGTTCAAATGCCCGGGACGGCCGTCTCAGTGGTGTCCCTCCGGCCGGCGCGATCACCGAGCTGTGACGCTCAGGGCCCTGATGAGGTGCTGGTTTCTTTGCCCAGGCCTGGCCTACGACCCATGCTGGATGGATCACTTCAGCCGTGAGCAAGGTTTGTCGTTTGGGGAGAATCCCCCGGTCAGATCTTCAGATTTTGACGGACGACCGAAATCACCCGTTTTTGCCCAATGTTAGGTCTTCTCGACGTGCAACATCGACCGCGATGCGCCGTGGCTCCGTTCGTAGAAACCGTTGGAGCGACAACGGTCGGCATCGACATTGGGAGCCGCCGTGGCTACGATCTGCCTCCGGAGGCTCCAACTACGGACCCCTTCCCTCGAGCCAATTTGCGGGGCTTGCGACCAATCTGTTTTGCGGAGGAGTGGTGCGCCCTGGCCAGACCGAGGCCAGCATCGACTGCAGTGCGACCGAGCTCGAGGCACGGCGAGAGAGGTGGCGATGGCAAAAGTCGACACGATGCTGAGCGCGAGCCGGCTCGCGCTGGGCGGAGGCAGGGAGACCGTAGGATTATCGATATAAGTGAAAACGGACACCACAGTCCTCACGCTCGACTATGTCCGCTAAACACTAAAGAGGTCACAGTGCTCAGTCCTCCTCGAGCCGTCTGAGCTCCTCCTCGAGTGCCGCAAGCTTCTGTTGCCGATACAGCTCAACAAGCTCTGCCTCCACAGTCTCTTCTACAGTCTCCGCATCACTGCCGTCTGCATCGGTGCTCGAGCCAGCTTTTTGCGGTCCAGGCGCCTTTGAATGAAAGTGCGACCGAACTTCTGCTACACTAAGACACGGAACAACAATGACGACAGCGGGCATCCTCCGTACAGCCCGGCGTCCACCTCCTGGTTGTACGACATTTGTCAGAAGCCAAAATGCGGCGGGTCCTCGTGATTGAGGGTTACTGATCAAGCGCCGTGCACTTTTTCGCTGGATTTTTTCTTTCTACCGCATCGTCATGAGCGGAGGCCAAAAGTGCGTGTGGCAACGTGCTTTGCCCTGCCTTGGGCGACCGGCTTGGTCACGGCAAAAGCAGCTGGGGGCGTGCCGCTCGCTCGCTCGAGGGCAGGTCTGAAGATGAGCTCGAACATCGAGGGCTTTCGCGGTGCGTCGCCACGCATCGCCCGGCCAAGAGCCTTGAGATCAGCTGGGATCTGCTTGGGACCGTCATCGACAGCGATCGGTTCGGCGTGCCGGCCGCTGCGGACGCCGATGATGCCGCTTAGACGCGAAGTTGTTGGGAGCGCGAGCAGCATGGCACCGCCAGCGCACCTTCGGCGATGATTCCGCTAATTCTTTTGTCCCCCACCCTTCATGTAATCACGACGACGGGGCCTATATTATGAAGGGACTATCCTATATGAAGGGTACATGTAGTCCCCACAATCGCTGACGTGGGATCGCTTGTCATGTGAGAGAGTAAAGATAAAGAAAGAAAACAGACAAGCCAAACGAGGGATGGGGGAGGAGGACAGGTGAGAGAGTGCGTTGTGTTCTCGTCGGTGTCCACTTCCTAAAGAAAGAAAGAAAGAAAACAGACAACCCAAGGGAGGGATGGGAGGACGGCACGCCGCCACCACACAGGGATTTTAAGGAGAGGTGAGAGAGAGATTTTTAGCAATATTGAGAGGTGAGTGGTGCGCTTCCTCTTTTGTTGTCGTGTGCCGCGGATTCTCTCTAGGCCCTCCCAACCCTCTCCATTGTTGTCCAAAGCAGGTCTCCTCGCCGAGCCCGCCGACACGCTTCGTGGGCGCTCGTTTGAGCTGTGGTAACGCTGTTTTGCGCGTTCACTTGCGACCCCGTGGCGCCTCTGCTCCTTTTGTAGATGAGCAAGCGTCGCGCGGAGCCGCCGAGCAACGACAAAGCCGCTTCTTCGTCCGGTAGCGGCCACAACCTCGAGTGGTGGCGCGGACTTCTCTTTGGCGTGGCCGTCGACGGGAAGACTGTCTACAAGGACACCCCCGAGACTGCGCTTGACCGCGCACACGCGAGGCGGGAGGCGCAGCCCCTCGCGGGCCTCTCGATCCACCTGCCTCGGCCTGTGCCTCCGTCGGTGCTAACCACCATCGACAGCCTCGGAGGGTTGCTGGCCGCCGGGCAGAGCAGCACCCACTGCGTCGTCAGCCCGGGCCTGACGGAGCGCACCTTCGCGCACGACCCCGGCCTGAGGCGGGAGCTGCGCCAGTGCGTCGCCGCAGGGCTGACGGTCGTGGAGACGAGCTGGGTCGACGAGGTCGCAAAGCTGCCTCCAGGCGGCGACTGGGCCGCAGTGGAGACAGCGCCGCACGTGCCCCCCGTGCTGGCTCTCTGCGGCACGGGCGAGGGCGAGGGCGAGCCGCCGCGGCGCGCGGATCGCTCCGGCCTCCACGCGTCGCTCGCAGAGACGTGGGAGCATGTGCAGCGGAGCCAGCCCGAGCAGGCCGAGTCGGACATGCTCGCGCGAGCGATCGAGATCTCGCTCCTCGACTTCGCGCTGCAGTTGCACGACGCGCGGCAGCCTGCCCCGGCGGAGGACCCTCGCCGCGTGCTCGGCCTGCCTCCGCACGCCGCCGCGGCGGAGGTGCGGCAGGCGTACCGCAGGCTGGCGCTGCAGAGCCACCCCGACCGTGGAGGTACCCCGCCGCGAGAGATCTGGCCGAGATCTGACCGAGATCTGGCCGAGATCTGGCCGAGATCTGGCCGAGATCTGACCGCGATCTGGCCGAGATCTGACCGCGATCTGGCCGAGATCTGACCGCGATCCTAGTGTGCAGGCACCCCGGCCGCCTTCCTGCGGCTGCAGCGCGCCTACCGCACGTTGATGGAGGAGGCGGACCCGGGCGGCGGCGGCGGCGGCGGGGAGACTCCCTTCTCGGCTGGCGAGGCGCGGCCGCGGCTCGCAGGCCCGCGGCTGGACGCGGAGCTCAAAGAGCACCGCGCAGTCGTCGAGGCGTGGTTCGAGAGGGGAGGCTCCGACTTGGAGAGCGCACGGGGCAGGCTGGAGCTCGCCCTGGACGCGCTCGGCTTGTGCGCGAGAGACTTGGGCGCCACCAACCGCAACGAGAGCGGCGAGGTCATCTACAACCAGTGCTTCTACCTCAGCCTGGCCCGCCTTTCTTCGCGCGTGAGGGACCGGAGGCCTGCCCGACCACTGCCCCGAGAGGTGGCTCGCTGGCGTAGGCGCGCGCCTTTCTCCGCGACGAGGGCGAGCCGCCCCCGTCGCTGGTCGGCGAGACGGCGCTCCACTTTAAGCGCGTCATCGAGACGGCCGTGCTGCGGGTGCGAGCCGCAGCAGAGAGGGGAGAGGGGGGGGGGGTGAGGTGGCTGCGTCCGCGGCGCGGCTGGCGGTAGGCGCACCGCACATTGATCGAGTAGTCCCTTCCCTAGCCATGAGCGTTGAGCGGTTCGTGGTAGGCGCACCCGGAGTGGGCCGAGACGCAGGTGGGCGAGGACCTGCAGGCCTTTTCCGACTTCCTCTTCTACGTCATCGGCGGCTCCAACGCGATGCTCTCCGAGCTCGCCGCCGCCGTCTTTGACTCCGTCTCGGGCGGCGTCGAGGTGTACAGAGGCGTCCACTACCCCGAGGGAGCGCAGGGGTCGGCGTTTGCGGCGGAGGAGTGCCAGCGCGCCAACCTGCTCTGCGTGCGGTACGTGCCCGGGCATTACCAGGCGCTCCTGCCACGGCCGGACGCACACGGCTTTGGCGGCAAGGGGCCCACGTTGAAGGAGCTGCTCGGCTGCCTCGACGCGTGCAACGTGTGCTACGTCGTGACCGACGACAGCGGCTGAAGAGCGAATTGGGAAATGGGGACCGGCGGAGCACGAGCGACGAACAACGAGGAATAACTTTTCCTCTCTAGTTCTCCCTCGCAAAAAGAATTTTGTGAATAAGGAAACGAGAAAAGGTTCCCATCCACCGTCCATCGCCGCGGCTCAACTCTCATCACGCCCGTCCCTACGCCGGACGCGCAGCTAGGCACGAGCAGTCATTCGGCACCGAGGCGCTGTGGGCAAAATGACCGACGACGGCGACAAGGGCGGCAGCATCTCGAGCGAGGACAACATCGAGGAGGCTGGCTTCCGAGGACTGCTCTCGGAGAGCAGCCAGCGGCTGGGCACAGCGATTAAGGGGCCAGAGCAAGAGAAGCTCGACCGCTGGATCAAGCTGATGGCAGAGGGCGCAGAAAACTTCTCGCCCCGCGCCAAGAAATGCGTTATGATGTGCAAGCCAGCCATCGAGATTGGGATCAAGGTAATCCTTGTCGTGATGGCCATCTACCTCGTCATCTTCTCGATGGGGTACAAAGTTTTCAAGCTGCTCCCCATGAATGCGATCAAAATGGTCTTCGGGGCTGCGCTGTGCTTCTTTGGAGGAACCTACTACGCCTCCATCGCAGCCATCGAGGCTTTCCGCATCTTTGGCTGGGAGACGCTGCAGGCCAACGTGAAAATCGTGATGGAGCAGGCAAAACGCGATTTAGTGCTTATGCATTGCGCACTCGCCCCCTTGGTTGCCAACAGGCCCGATGCTACTGAGGCTTCTCTACATGCTTCACACAAAAACACAACCCCGGACCCAAGAGCACAAGCACAGACAGTCGAGAAACAGCAACGACAGTGCATGCTTCACACTCTCCCTCCACAGGCGAACGCCGTGCAAGCTGCATCGGAGATTGACAACTCTGTGGACGACGACCACGACGGGGTTGCGGACGTCGACCAGATCTCTTCGCAGGCGCTGCTCCGCCGCAAGACGGTGCTCGCAATGACCACTATCCAGGAGCCGGAGCGGCTCAAGAAGGCGGTCGGCAACCTTTGGACCGCGTATGTGTCTGTGCTCGCGACCCTGCGGCTCGAGTTTGCCCGCACTACCTCCCTCGCTCTTGCCATTGTCGAGATGATCAAGTTCCCAATTATGCGATGGATCCTACCGCCACTGATGATGTTCCTTGGCTCCGATCTGAGCCACTGGGCGAAGACCTTTGTCGAGGTGACCCTCAACGTGATTGCGATGGTCGTGGCGTGGTACATGCAAATGATCATCTCCTCCTTCTACTCGGCGATCCGCGGCGGCCGTCTGTTTGCAGAGGGGCTGATTGCGGTTCTAATCGAAAAGGATCTGTTACGCAAGCTCCCCTTCTTCAAAAAGGCGCGCTCGAGCGACCCGCCCGAGGGCGAGAAGGCAGAGTTTGACGCCGATGAGTCGTATCTCGACGAGGTCATCGGCTTTTCCTTTGCGGGCGTGGGCTTTCTGTGGCAGCTCACCAGCGGCTTCGCACTCCCCTTCCCTCTCAACCTCGTTTTCTTCCCACTCACCCTCGTTGAGTACTTTCTCCGCTGGCAGATTGCGACGACCGCTGCGGCGCAGGAGGTGGGGGGCGCCGGAGAATGACCGAACTCAGTCTTGCGGAGGAGGGGGGGGGAGCTATCTCGATGGTTTGCACCAGTGCAGCGGTGGATGCGCTTTGTATTATGGCTCAGCGTTTTGGGTCTCGGAATAAGCAAGAAAACCCCGGTCGCGCGGCACGTCCCCCCAGACGCGCTCTTGCTGTTCTCTCTTTTAGTATTTAGAAAAAGAAGAAGAGCGCGCCATAGGAAGGTCAGCAGGACCAAGTCGCACACGCGGACTCGGGCACACCAAAAAGAAAACACGTCGCTAGTGGGAGGGAGCCCAGTAGGCCATGCTCTGGCGGGCTCGCGAGCGGCGCGCACCGCGGTTCAAGCCGGCGCGCGGCGGGCGCTGGGAGCCTATTCACAGAGGGCTAACGGGTATTTTTTTGCGTCGTTGTGCGGCCTGGGAATAGGTAGGTAGGTGGGGCACGGAGCCTGGCGATTGGCGCCTGCAATAGGTAGGTAGGTAGGGCGTTTTGGTGCGAGTCATGGTAAACAGACCCCCTATCTGGGTCGGAGCCGGAACCCAGTGTTTACACCAAAAAGAAAACATGGCGGGCGCCCTTGCCCAAACTCCCCAAAGCCGGCTTGATGGCGTTGTTCACGTGCCTTGCGACGCTGCTCGCCTGCGTTTCTGCGCGCCTCGCTATCGAAGGGCGCGTCGAGCGGCAGCCTATTTTTCGGCGGCTGCGCGGCGGCTCTGAAGCCGACGCTCAGGGGCTGCGCGGCGGCGCTGAAGCCGACGCTCCTCCGCCGCCTCGAGTCATGTTTGTGTGCCGCGCCAACAGCTGCCGGTCGCAGATGGCGCACGGGCTCTTCAACAAGCTGACGGATGGCTCATCGGGCGCGTCTTGCGGTTTCCGCGCATCTGAGCTCAACCCGCATGCTGTCGCAGTGATGGCCGAGATTGGCATTGACATCTCTGAGCACACGAGCAACGCGATCGCGGAGTACGACCCATCGGCGTTCGACGCGATCATCTGCGTCTGCGGCTGCGCGGCCGAGGTGCCGGGCGAGTGGAAGGTCGGCCACTTCGAGGACTGGTCGCTGGACGACCCGCCAGAACTCGATCCCGGAGACCGCTCCGTCTACCGGCGCGTGCGGGACGAGCTCAAGGAGCGGATCGAGGCGCTGGCGAAGCGGCTGCACGTCGCCGGCTGCGGCCTCGGCCTCGGCCCGCTGCGTGGCGGGCAGGCGGCGGCGGCGGGGGGTGTTCGGGACGAGGTGAAGGAGTACTACGGCAAGGTGCTTCAGAAGAGCGCCGATCTGCAGACGAACGCCTGCTGCACGGCGGTGGAGCTGCCGCAGGAGGTCAAGGCGGCGATCGGCAAGGTGCACCCCGAGGTGGTGTCCAAGTACTTTGGCTGTGGCTTGTGCGTGCCCGAGGCCCTCTCCGGCCTCTCGGTGCTCGACCTCGGCTGCGGCTCCGGGCGGGACTGCTACGTCCTTGCGCAGCTCGTCGGAGAGAGCGGCGGCGGCGTCGGCGAGGTCACAGCCCTCCCGGAGCCCTGCAGGACGCCTCTCGGAACCTTCGTGGTGTAGGCAGCGTCGTCGGCGTGGACATGACCGACGAGCAGCTCTCCACCGCACGGCAGCACGTGGCTTGGCACGCCGACGCGTTCGGGTACGCGCGGCCAAACACCGACTTCAAGCAAGGCTACATCGAGGACCTGAAGGGCATCGGGCTGGGCGACGAGACCTTCGACGTCGTGGTCTCCAACTGCGCGGCCAGCCTCTCGCCCGACACAAGCCTAGAGACTTGCCCCTCCCTCGGAGCCGCCTCGCCGCCCTCCCAGGCGTGGTCAACCTCTCTCCCGACAAGGCGGCGGTGCTGCGCGAGGCCTTCCGCGTCCTCAAGGCGGGGGGGGAGATGTACTTTTCCGACGTGTACGCCGACCGCCGAGTGCCTCCGCACTTGCGCGACGACCCGCTCCTCTACGGCGAGTGCTTGGGCGGCGCCCTCTACTGGAACGACTTCCTCGCCCTGGCAAAGGCGGCGGGCTTTGCCGACCCGCGCCTCGTCGAGGCCACTCCCGACGGCCCTCCTGGCTCCGCCCCGGCCTCTAGCCCGCGAGACCCGACCAGCCCTCCCCACGGCCGCCAGGACGCGCCGATCACCGTCGCCAACCCTGCGCTCGAGGAGAAGCTGCGCGGCATCCGCTTCTACTCGGCGACCTACCGGCGCCTCCCCGAGCTGCGCCTCGCTGCCTCGCCCCGCCCCGTCGCCGAGCCTCCTCGGCGCCCTCCCGCAGGCTCTTCAAGCTGCCCGGCCGCCTCGAGGCCGACTGCGAGGACTACGGGCAGGCCGTCGTGTACAAGGGGACGCTGCCGGGCCGCGCCGCCGCCTTCGACCTCGACTCGCACCACCACATCGAGGCGCGCCCCCACCGCCCGCAGCGTGGAGACGTGCTCCCTTCCGCACGTCCTCGGAGCCTCCTGTGCAGGCGGGCAAGGTCTTCCCCGTCTGCGGAAACACGTACCACATGCTCGCCTCGACGCGCTTCCGGCAGCACTTCGAGTACGTCGGCGCGCACCCGCACGAGGCGGGCAAGTCCGCGCACTTTGGCATCTTCGACGGCTGCGGCAAGAGCCTGCCCTTCGCCTCCGCATCGGCCGCCGGCGCGGGCGGGCAGTGCTGCTGACGCACGCGACGCAGGGCGTGACCGGCTAGACCCTCTCTCTGGGCCGCGTGGGCGGCGTGGCTAGCATTTGTGCACACAGCGCCGCAAAAAGAAGAACACGCAGTACGTAAATATGTCCCAGTGAGGGAGCACAGAGTAGTACGTCGATGTCTCGATTCAAAGGCCGAAAGGGCACCTCCTCGGGATATATAGCAGCCACCATGGGCGACGGCTAGCAGCTAGCACCACACTCCCTTCTTTACATCTATGATATCCCTGTGTTGGTGGCGGCGTGCCGTGAGCGTTCCCTCCCTTGCGCCTTTTGGGTTGCCCGCCGTTTTCTTTCTTTCTTTATGGGTTATGGCTTATGGGAAGTATTTCGCGCCTTTCCCCCGGCTTCTCACACCTTTTTTCTCTATTAGCAAGAGGTCTGTGAAGAGGTCGGCGCAGATTTTTAACACATTCATCACATAATGCATAATAAATAAATAAATAAACAAAGAACTTGACAAATACCAAATTCCAAATCGCAAACATAGAAACCAACAACAACAACAGAGACCCAAACACAGGCGGCGACGTGGCAAATAAAAACGGACACCTCTCTACTCATAATGCATAAAAAGTTCGATTTTGGGTAGACTAGCCCACACAGAGCCGAACCCGCCGGGGCCCTGGTCATGTGACGGTCGAACCACTGCAGACAGCCCCCTCCCGCCCGACGGTAGGGTGCCCACAGGACCCAAAAGAAAATAGCTTTTCGACTCAAAAAGGGACGCACGAGGCAAATCTGATGTTGGCCAGTTCCAATAGGAGCGAGGCCTCTTCCGTTGGGGGACCGAGTACATAGGAAAAGAGGGTTCCCCGGTTTGTCACGCGCGAGCACGAGCGTGACACTGCACTTGGCGCCGAGCGCCCGCGGCACAGACCTTGTGCAGGCCACCCCTCGGTGAGTGCACCGGTCCGGACCGATGGCGCTCGGTGTGGAGCAAGCAAGACCCCCCCCCCCCCATCGGCGCGCGCTCGCCATTCCAACGGGCGCCAGGAGCACCAAGAGGACTCCTCATGGCTGCACTCAAGTGGGCTTCGACCGGCCTCGGCTGGGGGGGCGGGTTGTTCCGGCTGCGGACGCCTTCTGCAGCCCCCTGGGCCCGTGACAGCACCCAAAAACTGCCCCTCGGCGGCATACAGCACTGCCAGCCAGCCTCTTCCTCCTCCTCAAGGGCTGTACTATAGGCCATATTGCGCCGCCTCCTACTAGCAGCCGGGCGGGCGCGCGCCGCGGGCGCCTCGGCGCGCGCACGGCTCGCAAAGTCCAACGAGTACTGCCGCCCGGCCGCCTCAAGGCTGCCGGGCGGCAGTACTCGCCTCGCAAGGCGCGCACCGGCTGCTCTGGCTGCTGCGCCGGCGGCCGCTGCGCTGGCCGCTGCTGCGCCGGCTGGCGGGCGGCACGGCCGCCGGCGGCCGCTGCACCCGCGCCTTCCCTCGCGGGCGCCGTCGCGCCGCGCGCGCCCAACCCTGCTGGTACACGGCACGCGCGCGTCACACAGCCGCGGAGAATAGGCGGTGCAGCGCGCGAAGCGCGCGCGATCTCGTACTTTTAAGGCTGGATCCGGCCATTCCAAGGGTATACCTTTGAGAATCCCCAGCGTCCCACCCTCCTAGTCACACTCTCAATTTCTCGACTGGCCAACACGAAGTGCTGCGATCGGGGGTGGCCCATTTCTTTTTTCCTTTCTTTTTTTGGGCCCTGTGGGCACCCTACCGACGGGGAGGGACGCACGCCATCACCCTCGCCCAGGGATCTACAATGTGTCTTAAGTTCCGACCTGTGGGCACCGCCTGCGCTCGGCACCGGGCACCGCCTCGGTACACAAAATGCGCCTGCGGGCGGACCCTCAGATCACAGATCAATCACTCACACACAGGTAGGTGTGGCCCTGTGGGTGAAGTCTGGAGCTTCCGGGGTGAACTCTGGACTGCCGCCCGCCACACAGGGTAACGCCCTCTGCCTCTTCGCCCGCCCTCTGCCGCCTCCGCTCTCCTCGCACGCGCTGTCGGCGCCGAGACCGGCCGCGCTCACCCCCTCGTGTGCCACCGCAGGGACGACACCCTCGCGCGACGTCTTGAGCTGGTGCGCGTCGCGCTCGGTCGCCGCGTGCCCGCTGGCCACCGATCGCCGCCGCTCACTGCCGTCTCCTCTCCCAACCCCACCCCGCCCTGCCCTCAGAGCGTGTCTCCGCCACTCGCCTCGATCTCCAGAGGCGCGCCCCCACCCCCGTTCCACCCCGCTCGCCACTCAGAGACACGTGTCGCGGTCGGCGCCCGTCGTGCGCGTGCCGCGCCACCCCCCACCTCCCCCCCCTCCCCCCCTCACACATCCATCCGCACGCAGAGCATGCCAGCGACCGCGATCGCCGTCGTGCCATACGTCCGCGCCGAGTTTGCCCCCGACGATGGAGCCGACGAGTTTGTGGAGGTCGACCCGGACGTCGGCCTGACGCCCGAGGATGAGGACGAGCTGCTGGCCCTCGAGGACGGACCGGACGGCCAAAAGAAGAAGGTCATCCAGACGGATCGCCTCGTCATCCAGGGCAAGCGCTACATCCGCATCTTCCTCGAGGCCGAGGGCAAGACGGTGGAGGCGTGGACAGAGCGCGTCGCTCAGTTGGCGGACGGGCGGGGGTGGGGCAGTGAGAAGGTGCAAGAGGAGCTCAAGCGCATGCTTCTGAAGTGGAAGGAGCAGGTGTGCGAGCGCTGCTGCGTCGCGAGAGTCGACACGAGAGCCCAACCCCCACCCCCTTCCCAACACGAACTCGTCATCACACCCCCCGTCCGTCAGGGATGGATCCGCAAGGACGAGGAGGGCAAGACCAAGGACAAGACGTACCCCATCAACGAGACGAACCTGCGCGCACTCCGCTCCGGCTACCAGGCGGAGCACGCTCCCCCTCTCCGCCTCGCGCGTGGCGTTCACTCCTCTCCTCCACCCTAGGCGATTTTGACGCAGCCTCCGACCAAGTTCCTCCGGCTCGGTAAAGACGGATACTTCAACAAGCTCCCCGTCTACCAGGAGCTGTGGGAGTCGTGCAAGGGCAAGGTCTCCGAGGAGCGGATCGCGGCGGGCACCGCGCAGATCTCCTCCAGCGGCACGCTCACGCTCACGATGCAAGAGATCAAGATCATGCTCGCCAAGTGCATCGAGCTCGCCGACGAGTGCGCCTCGGGGAAGCGCAGGGGCAATCCCTACAAGTGGCTGCAGTGCCACACGCTGCTCATCGCGTCCACCACCCTCGGCGGTCGCTCGCACAACCTGGTCGACACCGTGAAGGGCCAGGCCAAGGCCGAGGAGTGGGGCGTCGGCGAGGACGGCTCGCCGATGTGGCAGTCGCCCGACGCAGACGGCGTCACCGGCTTCTCCCCGGAGATCATCACGCTCACCAACGTGTACATCAAGGGCGGCGGCGCGGCGACCTTCTGCTTCATGAACCACAAGCTGCCGGAGCTCGACCTGCTCTGCTCGCTCGGCTTCAAGCTCTTCTACCAGCACTCGGCCGCGACCCACGGCGACTCTGTCGTCCCGCCCACCTCCTCCAACTGGATGGATGGCAGCGTCCACGAGGGCGGGCCGGGACACTTCTGCCCTTTCTTCCTCTCACACCTCGACCGAGGCAGCTGGAACAAGCCCCTCTCCTCCGCCAGCGGCCGCTCCGACGACATCGGAAAGCTGGCCGACGATCTCAACATCAACGTCGGCCAGAGCGGCAAGAAGGACCTCCGCCTGGGCGTCCTCTACTGCTTCCGCCAGTTTGGCACGCAGAGCGGGTCCTCGAACACTGGCCACACGGAGGAGACCGCCGCGGCTGCCAACCTGCAGTCCGACGGCACGAAGCGCGACGGGCACTACGCGCACAAGCGCTTCGACGTGCTCGCTCTGCGCGGCGGCCGCCCGTCCGCGGCGGCGTGCAAGGAGGGTCCCTCCGCGAGCGACCGGGTCCTGCACTCGCAGCTGAAGCCCGAGACCCGCAAGATCCTTGGCGAGATGCTCATCCGGCGATAGCTGGTCGGCGAAGGAAGCAGGCCGCGTGCAGGCAGAAGTGCAGCAGTGGCGAGCCGAAAGCGACCTGGACCACGCAAAGCGCGGTTTCGTCGGCGGCCGTTGGGCACACGTAGGCGGCGCTGGGCCGCGCGGCGCTGGGAACCTTCGCATCGCCTCCATGGTCACGACGCGGCCTCGCGGCGCGATTGACGCCGACTTGGGCATCTTTGCCACCAAGCGCCTCTCCGCGCCGCCGGCTAGCTTTTGGGAGGCAGCGAAGAACTGCAGGACGAGGCCCGGGTGGTCACGCGGGGAAGGCGCGCACGGGTTGGCTCCGCACGAGTTGCGCAGCATCGTGGAGTACGAGGGAGAGATCCTCTCGCAGACGCAGCTCTCCTCGGCGATGACAGGGTTGTCGGAGAGACCTGTGTTGAGGACACACGTCAAATTGTTTGTGAGGCAGTACGGCACGCCAACGGAGGCGGACGGGCTGGTGGCCATCCACGCCATCAACCCACATGATGTTCGCGAAAAGGTGCGAGCCGCAATGGTCCGCCGCGACGAAACCCTTCTCTCGCGGCTCGGGCTCGGCTGCCTCTCCAATAGCACGTATCCCCACAGAGATAAGGCGAATATGGCGACCGTGCTTGACGGCCCGCAGATGTTCCTTGTCCCGCTGCGCGACATCGAGGCGGGTGAGGAGCTCACACATTACTACAATGTTGATTCCCTCCTCCGCCACGTGCGTGAAGAGAAGAATGGGATGTAGCGTTGAAGGATGTAGCGCTATGTAGCGTTGAATATTTATTTATGATAATGAGAAAATGGTGACCACGGCACCCTTTTTTTTATCTGTGGGCGAAACTTGAGGCGCGGGCCTGTTCCTTTTTACCCATCTCCTAGTAGAGGTGTCCGTTTTATTTATTTATTTATTTAGGCGCGGGCGCAACGCGGGCGCTGCGGCGGGGGTTTTTGGCTGAAAGGTATGGGTTCGAGAGCCAGTACACGCGGCGCGAGCCTACGTGTAGGCAGTATGCAGCCCGTAGGGCGCGCCGTCTTTTCCGTGACACCCCAAGTCTTTGGTACGACGTCGGAACAGCTGCTCCAAGTCGGTGCGTGGGCAGAACAGCAGCGATACAATGCAAGAGAGGCCGTTGGGGATGGCTCTACGA